TCAACTCCATATTCGTGTTTTTTCGCGGTGTTTGGGTGAGCCTCGAACAGCACAGAAACCATACGTTCCTTTCTGGAAACCGTTTCTAGTTCGCTGACAGTCGAAAATATCCTCAACGACTGTTCAGATTGATCTTAAGGTAAGTGCATACGTGTACAAAGGAAGTAAACAAACGGGTAACATGAAAATGTTTCCCAAAATCATGTACGTTGCAGGTCAAGCGAAACATGCAAACGAAAAGCCTCAAGCGTAAAAACTAGTATTTGTTAAAGGTTAGAGTGTTATCCTTTTCAACCAGTTAACTCTTTCGCAGCTGTCTGCCCAATGTTGTAACTGATTTGAGAGGCAGACAGTAGAAAAAAACTCTCAAACATGAAATGCAACCATACACCAAAGAATTTGTATGTCCATATTCATCAACAGACTTTTTACAAATTTGTAGAAAATTTTGTTTCATTTTTAGAAAGGAGGAAGGTTTTGCGGGGGAAAAGAAATGTATAAATGATATAGAGTGATTTTGATGCGTTGACTTTCCTGGTGGGTAGATATTTGTCAAATTAAGTTGACCATATATCAACGTCAAGTTTGATGAAAGTAGTTTTACGCATTGGCGAATTTCCTATAGCTAACTATACGAGATTTCGTTTCTTTTAAATGCTCAAGATTAGACATTTGTCGGAGCAAAGTGGCAGGCAAGAGATATTTTTGACCAAATTTACGCGAACGGCAAACAATGTCAAGAATCCAGCTGTTGATGTCTGCCCTTAAGCCATTTGTGCAAATATTTTTAATTTTCTTGCGTAACGATCTCTTCCACGTCTAATTAAGAATTGATTACAAAAACCGTAAGCGAATCTTAAGAAAACTTTTCACTGTCACGCTTTTTTATGACATAGTTAAAGTTTGATCTACTTTACCAGACAGTTCTTCGCTGATTTTTTCCACAATTTAGTCGACTGCAAAAAATCTCATCAAATAAAATTGTTAAATTATGGCGATTTGGTTTGAGTGACACGTACCCTCTAGATAATTTTGTGTTTTAAACTACAGTTTAATGTGTTCGAGTGGTAACTAATTGCTAAAACATCTTTCGAGTTTTTGTGGAAAAAAGCTATACATTTTAAAAACCATTGAGATTTGGAGATTTCGTTCTCCTTCTTGAGGTCGAAAATCATGGTAAGGTTGTAGCGGGTTCTTGTTGTTTGCTTCTGTAAGTGCTTAGAAAACAAAATACCGCGGGTAATCAACCATATATACCAAATTCGTCATGAAGTCCACACAGATTAAATTTTCCTATTTCTGAGTTTGGAAACTCTTTCGAACAGATGCATACGACCATTGTTAGGAACTCAAGTGTAGCAGTAAGAAATTTTCAAATGTATAGTTCTTATGGTCAGCTATATTTTATAAACAAACTTTGAAGTTAGTCCGCAACAACTAAACATCATTTTCGTGATATGCTACCCTTGCCTGAGAATTTTCTCTTGCTTTTATTTTAATTAATCCGGTTTTAATTGTTTTTATGCCTTTTATCTCGAGAACCAAGTATTGAGTATTAGGGCGCGAGCCCGAGAGCCGAGGCTGTTCGGTTTCAAAACTTGATTCACGTGAAAGGCCTAGACAGCTTTGGGAACTTCTACGCGAAAGACCTAAGTCTCTTTCAGTATCTACAAAATTTTTTTCTGGTTGTAAATTAGTTTTGAACTAGATCCGGTTTTGTCCAAAATAACAATGTTAAAAATATCGGTTTACACGACTAAGCCTCGACATATGATGAAAAAGTCAGTAAAAAACCCACTCACCAAGAAAACGATTCCAATTAATGCGATTGCTTTCAACTCCATATCCGTGTTTTCTCGCGGTGTCTAGCCGAGCTTCGATATTGACCAGCTTCGAACAGTACAGAAATTATAAGTTCCTTTCTGACCGTTTCTAGTTCGATGGCAGTCGAAAATATTCTCAACGACTGTTCAGATCGATCTTAAAATAAGTGCATACGTGTACAAAGGAAGTAAACAAACTGGTAGCATGAAAATGTCTCCCAAGAAAACACGCACATTTCAGGTTAAGTGAGACATGTCACTGAACAGCCTCAACCGTAAAAAACTATGCATCGGCCTTATGAAGTTTGTTTTTTACTTTTCCGTCGATTTAATTTGTTAAAGTATTAGAGTGTTATCCTTTTCAACCAGTTAACTCTTTCCCAGCTGTCTGCCCAATGTTGTAACTGAGTTGAGAGGCAGACAATGGAACGAAACTCTCAAACATGAAATGTAACCATACATCAAAGAATTTGCATGTCCATATTCATCAACAGACTTTTTACAAATTTGTAGAAAATTTTGTTTCATTTTTAGAAAGGAGAAAGTTTTTGCGGGGAAAAAAAATGTATAAATGATATACAGTGACTTTAATGCGTTGACTTTCCTGGTGGGTAGATATTTGTGAAATTAGGTTGACCATATATCAACGTCAAGTTTGAGGAAAATGGTTTTACGCATTGGCGAATTTCATATAGCTAACTTTACGAGATTTCGTTTCTTTCAAATTCTTAAGATTAGCCATTTGTCGGAGCAAAGTGGCAGGCAAGAGATATTTTTGACCAATTTTACGCGAACAACAAACAACGTCAAGAATCCAGCTGTTGATGTCTGCCCTTTAGCCATTTGTGCAAATATTTTAAACTTTCATGCGTAACGATCTCTTCCACGTCTAATTAAGAATTGATTACAAAAACCGTAAGCGAATCTTAGGGAAATTTTTCACTATCGTTATATAGTTAAAGTTTGATCTACTTTACCAGACAGTTCTTCGCTGATTTTTTCCACAATTTAGTCGACCGCAAAAAAACTCATCAAATAAAATTGTTAAATTATGGCGATTTGGTTTGAGTGACACGTATTCCCGAGATAATTTTGTGTTTTGAACTACATTTTAATGTGTTCGAGTAGTAACGAATTGCTGAACATCGTTCGAGTTTTAAAAACCATCGAGATTTCGCTCTCCTTCTTGAGGTCGAAAATCATGGTAACGTTTTTAAAAACAAAAGTCAGCAACAGAACATCAGTCGTGCTCCATATCTCCTATGTATTCGTTTCGCTATCCTTTCTGAAGTTCCTTTGATTTACCTAATTTCTCTAAACGCTTCAATTTTTGCGTTAATTTAGCGCCACAACAGTAGTTTCTAAAGTTTCCATAAATATCTTGCGAGGAAAACTAGCTCGCAGCGGCGGACCAAATTTGATCCCTTTGCGCATGCTCGACGAGTTGTCGAGAAATTAAAAATATAACTACTGGCAGTGGATTGACATGGGAAGGGAAAAGGGCCTCATAATGTGCTAGTCTGCCCTTGACTATGTAACGTTAAATATGTAGCTTTTAATCGGTGTGTAAAGTTTATCGTGTAACGTTTGCAAAACGTTTAACGTGTGCAATAATCTCTTACCGACATCTTAGCATTTAAATGAAATGTTGGGATCAAAGCGTTTTTGTTGATCACGAGAAAGTCAGGAAAAACCTCTGCTTTGAAGCACTTAATAAGTGATCTCATGTCAAGTAACCTCGTTTTTTGTTTGTTTGTTTAAATTTTGATCGCTTTTTTAAGAAAAATTCGTGTAGTAATTGTGAAGATATGATGCTCGATGCTGTCGCATTTCAAAATGGTCTCCATGTTTTTCTCGGAAATTCGACTAAATCCCTTCACACAATAAGTCGCTATCTTTCACATCACTGATATTGAACAAAGTAACACGTGACGACGAAGTATCAACGGTTTAGAAGCTGTCAAAGTCAACCTTCGTGTTTGCACAAGCCAAATTCGACAATTTTCCATTTCACGATGTCACGTTTCGCCTCACAGTTGCTTAACAAATATTTGCATTGTAACGCAATGACCTTTGTCTACAGGGTTGGCTTGCATGCAATATCAATTCTTTAAATTTTCTGCCTCTGAATGAAAACACCTCGGAACGCATTTTATGTGACCGCAAGTTTCTTTGAATGATTGAAATTGAAGATATGCAGCAGTGAATTTTACAAGTTTTCTTTTATCAGATAATCACAGGATTATTTTCGTCCGCTTCTGATCGCTCCAGCCAATGTTTACATACGATAATTGAATTTAATCACGGTTCTTGGCGTGTATCAGATCATAAACAGTCGAAGCGGTTCACAGTATTAGGTTTGTGCTTGAACTCGATAAATTTTTGTTCACTTGGAAGCACAGGCAGCCCAAGCTCCACCAGTGAGATGATCATCTTGCGTAATTCGGATCACGGCGAAAATATAAGAGTTTGTATGGGAATATTGACGACCTTAGGAATAAAAAAATACTGTCGAATTCTCATTAAAAATACCTCACCTTACTTTCACAGTGCATCGCTTGTTGTCTGACCGCTTGCTATGTTGAAAAGAAGTCATCTTAGCGAGTTATCCACCTCTAGGTTTACTACTCCTTAGGAGTAGCAAAGGAACGAATTTTGAAAAGCTGATTGTGTTGGAAGGAGATATTTTACGCAACGATGCCTAGTATAAACTGTAACAAAGCCTCTCTATCGTTTTACGCGCGGTTAGTACTCCAATATAGCTTTGTGCTCGGGCGAGTTCGGGTGACCAACTGAAGATGTCTGCCCGTTATTCCTATCGACCAATTGCCATTGAGTGAGTGACTCGATTGCGTATCGAGTTCCCATATAAGTGTATATTTTTGAAAATGTATATTTTGCTTCTGTGTTATTTCGAGCCCCAAATCTAGCGCGCGGTTTTATGTTTTAAAAGGGAAACATAATCTCCATGTCAATGAACTGTGTGCTCACGGGTCAGAGTAGAATGTTTATTTCAGATGGAAAGACGACCAAAAACACTTGTCAATAGGAAGGTGTTCCGACCTAACTCTTTCAATCCCAAGATCTCATTAGTAATTCTCCTTACTATCTGCTATACGGTTCTTATGGTGTTACTTTGGAGAACTCGGTATTTGATCAACGAGTAATCCTCTAATAGATATTGTTCTTTATTTTCATCACTTGTCTGGTTTATATTGTATTGATATTGTAAGGAGAAGTTCTGTCTTGGTCACTAGTAGGAGTTAAGGGTTAAGAGTGCCGCGTAAAAAGTCAATCAACAGGAGATGTTTACATTTGGAGGCTCAATGTGTAATTCGAGGAAACATTGCTTGATTCACAGATTTTACATAAACCTTGAAATAAAGTGAGAGTATAACGAATGAATTGAGAATCAGATCATCCGTTTTTAGCTGCCAATGTTTATTCTTGTCAGAGTATGTTTTCAGTCGTGTTTGATGTAAAATGTTAAGAGGGAAGACTAAGAGAAACAGATCATCCGAAAAGCGACGAATTTATTTAAAAGAATTTTGAATATTGATCTGGTAAGTCATCACGATTAATAACTGAGTACAAAAATTAACTGCTGTAATTAAAATAATAATTGTTCTGTTGACTGAATCAATTTTGTGATATTAGTGAGTTAAATCGTCTATAAGTTCATAAATCTGGTAAATTTAAGTGTGCCTTTGCTAACGAAATGAATCAGCTTCACATTGTCATGTTCGATTCCTATATATCACCAAACAATTCAGCACCGTTTTTTCAATGTATTTTTGGGAGATTTGAATCGTCTGATCTGAAAATGTCATGAACCCTGGCAAACTGCCGAAACCTGCATAATCTCTTTCTTCCTACAGACTTTTCTTTATTTCTTCAAGTTGTACCAGATTAGCGATCTTCTTGGCGAAATCGACAGCAGCCAAAACGGTCAAAGCAATCTTTGCTATTAGCGCTGCTCCCTCTGTGGCAAAGGCTGCTATGATCATGGCGCTCACCTTCGCTGCGGTCTCCAACCAGTCGTACCATTTCATCTGTCTGCACAAACTCTTAATGATGGTCCACAACAATCCAGCTGCGTAGGTTTCTTTGAGGAGGAAGAAAATGGCTTTAGCCTTGTTAGTTGCACTGCCTCCCGCCGCTTTCCACGAACTGACAAACTTCTGTATCGCTTGCTGGAATGCTGAAGACTTCTTAATTGCTTCCGCGGTGTCTTCAATGGTGGCTTTCATGGTGCTGCTGCTTACAGATACTCCGATCCCAACTGCCTGCATGACAAGCATCACCGCCTCCACCACAACACTGGCGTACTGAAGAATCGTGGCCCAAACGATGTCAGCACTCGCTACCAGTTCCCTGGATGGCAGGAACTCCTCTCCTTCTCTTGTCAACTGCACCAGATGTTTGCCATTGTCCATCTTGCTTATTTCCATGCGGAATGTTGGAATGGTGAGCGCCTTTTCAATCAGCCTGATTCGATCTTCGGGCAGATGCTTCTCAAGGCGCTTACGGATGTCTTGTTCTGGTTGAGAGGCAAACTCGTGAGCGAGTTTCACTTCCTCATCGGCGGCTTCCCTCGCTGCTGTAGTGATAGCATCTTTCAATTTCCCGTCTGCAATGAGCTTGGAATGCTCTTCAGGAGCGTTCGTTTTAATCTGCGCCAACGCCCCCTCTACAGCTTCCGAGATTTTCTTATTATCTGTTGTCATTTTCGATCAAGGAAATTTTAAGTTGCTGTGAATGTAAAGCATTCAAGACCAATTTCAAAATGTTATTGCAGATTATACACCAAGGTACGCAAATACTGCTGAATAATCAAATTTAATTTCAATCAAAAGTAGGGGAAATATCTTCAGATTTGAACCTCGCAAAAGTTAGATGACGATCACTGCTGAAGAAAGCTGTTTCCACACGGCATATCTAGGTATCACTTTAATTCATTTCGAGGGCACTTTTCTGACCAACATCATTGCGAGACAGTTGAACGGAGAGATGAGTACCGAAACTATAGGTCATAATCATCTAAACCTTTTCCAAAATACAATTACAAAATGTGACAAAATTTTCTTCAGTGCTCACAGTTATTTCGCTCATTCAGACAAATGTTTTAACATCGATGCTAAAGCGATTCTCAACGAACGAAGTCAAATCATCACTAATTAGTTCCGCATATGCGCTTGCCCAACAAAACGCTTTACCAGCCCTAATTCGAAGAGCACTTTAACTGAGCTATAGAATGATCTTTTGTTATTGTCAGCTTAACTTGAAAGAAATCTAAATTGATCAACATAATGTTCCACTAGGAAACCTGCATGCTTACCAAATTTAACTGTGCCAAGCTCAGAGTTCAGCTTCAAGGGAAGAGATGTAAAGTGCTTTTGATGTTCTGAACGTTCAGTTTATACGTATCAACTCGTCCATCACGTGATAGACACGAGTAAGTTCTCATTCTATCTCGGCGCTTGCTGATTGGTCCATTGTGAATCACCTGATTTTCTTACTTGTTTACATCTAGTGCTAAATTTGGTTCCACCTCAAGAAACCGATGAACTTCTTGCTTTACTCGGAATTGAACATAAATAGCTCCACACAATAGAAATACCCAATATCACTGAGCCTAAATTTCTCGGGGCTCTCTGATTGGCCTATTGCGAAGTTACCTGATTTTTTTAATTTGTTTGCATTTCAACATCTAACAATAAAGGTAATGAAGGTCAAAACTCCTTGGCGTAGTTATTGAAAACATATTCTATATCCAAATATATTACAGAATATCATTTTTTTGCCAATTCAGGCGTAAACACAGAACCTCTCCTCTAACAATGTTAGTGAAACAAAACAGTCGTCTGGTTAATTTTTACAAAGCGCACAAAATTCGACATTGTTTGAAGGAGAGAGGGATTTTAGTAATACTGCGATAAGTGTTCCAACACTTTTAATCTCCCTTGTAGATTTTTACACTCGGCATGCTCGGTTTTCAAGACAGGTTTCAACAAGCTTTCTAATTTTTTTGGAGAATCTTAAGATTTTTAATATAACGACTTACTTGCACGAAGGAGCTGAGAGTGCCATATTAAAGCAAAAAATACAATATTTAGAGACATCGCATCAAAATAAGTTGACGAGACACAGACACTGTGTTGCTTCTTATACTTGCACATCAGTCATAAATGATTTGCACACCTAACTGAACAAATCACAAAGCCATTCTGTATACTTACACTTATTGTAGAGACAGTCTCTTTCCTACTGATCGTCTTCGTCAAATATAATCGATTAAGTTTGCGATTGTGGCTATCAAAATCTCTTTTCTTAAGCGCTTGCAGATTGATTTAATGTCAAATCTCCCAATTTTTTTTTCTTTACATTTGATACTTGATTGCGTTGCACTTTCAAAATGAGTTTCCTGCTTTTCCCAGAATTTGGGATAAACAGCTTATCACGAAAAAAAATCCTGACTCTTGTCATCACCAGGCCTGACTTTTCGGCGTTACGTAGAATACCATTCGAGAGTGAAAAATGTACGCTTCATACACAGGTCCTTCAAAAGATTAGTAGATTATGGCTAAGTACTTTTTGTTTTTTTACTTAACTCAATTTTGTGTCCATCCATTAGAAAAGAGGAAGAACAAGGCCGATAACAGGCCAGTTTGATGAGGATGGGTTGTTTTCACACGACAAAACTTTCGGTTGCAGTTCAATTTCAACTGAAGTCACAACAATGAAATCACCACCTTTTTGACACTTGATACTCCATTTTGCGTTGACAGGTCTTAATCCCTTTGTTTTTCTCGGAAATTAACAGACAACTACAACAATGGAATCTAAAGGCATATCTGCCTGATTGCCATATTAAACTGTTCCAAACTCAGACGTCGGCTTCAATGGAATAAATGGGTATACCATTGATATTGAGAACTTTCAGGTTATGCGCGTGGACATGTCGATCACGGAAAAGTCACAAGTTAAATTCGATTTGTCTATTGCTGAGTTACATGATTTTTTTTTATCTATTTACATTTGATATTAAAAATTGGCTTCCGGGTTTTCTCGGAATTTCATATAGCTTAATGTCTTAAATAGAGATAGCTCAGCACAATAAATTCGCCAACTCTTGACATCAACTGGCCTGATTTCTTGGAATGAAATAGTGAGGTATGAGAATTAAATTTCTGTGGTATAGAAGCTGATACCAAATCGATTTTCAGGCCTCGCGGGAGCCTTGCCTCGGCCTCGCTCTCGCCCTCCTCAACTATCACGCGATGTATGTGAGACACGTGTCACATGTGAATCTGGTAAGTTCTAATGACGGCCTCGCTCACCATAGAGTCTCTGTAGCTCGGTGACTGAGCTTCGAAAATTTTGTTACAATTTGAAATTCAAACTTTTACAATAAAAGATCTACGCGTGTGAGTGTGTGCGTTGTTTTTCTTTTTTTTGGTTGCTATCGCGAAACTTGTTGTGATACCGTTTCCCGAGTGTATTGCGTTTGCGTCCTGCGGATCAATGCTTATGTCCACTTTTTAAAAAGCAGCGTCGTCGTTTTTTTAATGCCTGTAAAGCTATGCGCCTTTAAGGTAAATGTTTTCTTTATTGCGAGTTTCTTTGAGTTTTTGTTCTCGAATATGTATTTTATATTAGTAGCATAGGCGTTTGTATGATTTAAATAAATGGATGAGCACAATTACGCGTGACTTCGCCCATAGTTGTTGTTGTTTTCGTTTTTTACGTCGATGCAATCCAGATTATTTCTGTTAACTTTACCTAATTATCTCTGAATAAAGCATTTTCTAATAGAATGGGGGAGAGAAGGAGAGTTTTCAGGACCACTAAGATTGGGATATATCTCAATCAGTACTCGAGGTCATGAACGAGGGGAGGAATATTGAGTAACATACACTCGGCGTTGCGGAGTCATCGCGGGTCTGGGTCAGGGATTTGGATTGGTTGTGGAGACTTGGGCGAATTAAACGCTTGGATGTAAAGATAAGTTTTTTGTTTGAATTCGAGCTTGAACGAACGAGGTAAAAAACCTTCTCTCCCCATCCCGTCCCTGAGCTGCCGAGCCTTAAAAACCGCCCTAGTCCTTACAACCAGTCCCAGTCTCTGGCCCAGACTTGCGGTGACTCTTTGTCTCTCCTTAATTTGACATTTATGATATGTGGCTAAGGAGAGACATTTCCTTTTTTGGACGAGAAGAAGGTGGAAAGGAAGGAAGACTATTCTACGACACTGAACCTCTGTAAGTGAAACTGTTTTTGACAAAGTTGGCTCGGGGTAGTGGAGTAACTAACTTGCCCTCGAAGTTTCTTAAAGAATAATTAGAACTGAATTCCATCTCGATAAATAAACATAGAGGGCAAATATTGCGGAGCAAGGCCATTTAGAGACTTGCAGATCATAGCCGCTGTTTAAATTTTCCGTTGCGTTTCAAGTTTTCCCAATCCAAAGATTTGAAAAGATCGTCAGCACTGACATCATAGGAAGAGTAGGTCACAATGTTGAGTAGGGATTAAATAAAAACAAAGGATTTGCGTCATCATTCCCGCTCGCAGTATCAACAGTAAGGGGTTAAAATGGAAGCCAGGAAGAAAAGGCCGAGGAAAACATTGATTAAAAAAGTATTTTTATTTTTTCTTAAATGAAATTTGTGAATAGCTGGTTGTGGTTTATCGTCGCTAAAAGCGCCAACCTCAGCCTTAGCATAACATATGTTAAACTGCTCCATGCGTTCAGTCATTGAAACGGAGCGCGATGATAAACGGCGATAAAATATATGGCGGAGGAGTGAAAAAACGGGCGTCGCTTGGGTCGAGTCGCGTAATGAACGTCTGTGTCCTTTTTTCGCTTTTTCACTCTGCAGCTATTATGGTGTCGCTTAGTGTTTCGCTTCGATTTGATAACTGACGCCTGGAACATGCTAATCATCGCTGAAAGGTTAACAAATGGCCTCTTATATATTTACGTCGGAATTTGCAATTTTAACCTCCAAGCTTCGCTTTCATGAAACAGTCTGGGGAAATCCCAAAACATGTCCGATGTCCATGGCAAAGATTCAAGAAAAACTTAGTGCTTGTGAGTTCTCGGTGACATCGTCGTGTTTAAGAGCTATTTGCCGACCCGTTTTTTTTCTTGGAAAAAATTCGTTTCACGGGGAGTTTGACGTTTTTTTACTTCATAGGAAGGGCCTTTCAGACGCTACATTCAGTTTAATTGACTTACAGATATCGGTCGAGCTGAGAAACTGGTCTGCTCATTAAATTTTTTGTATATTAACACTCTCGCCGCCGTCTTCGTAATGCCGAGTTTCCTTTAAAGTCTTGTAAAATTGTTTATCTCTGTGCCAGATCTTTTGAAACCAAGCCATATATTTGAAGTATTTGTGTACATTAAAAATACCCCAGCTCCTTGGGGGTTAGTAGACGGGCTAATTGGGGGCTCGGAACAGTCCTCGACCTCGTGACGTGATGTCTTGAATATTCTTGCACGGGCAGCTGCCAATGTAATCTTTTGTCTAGTGTGTTTTGGTTTTCGATTGAAACAATATAATTAAGGGGAAAGAATAATTCAGATAGTCTCAAAAGCGAGGATTTTTTATAAAAAAAAGAGTAATCTAAAGAACGACTAACTCATTTTAAACAATTTTATTTGCTGGTGCTTCTGATCGAGATAGCCGGTTCACTCAGTTAAATTCGGCTGCTATATACAATGATTTCATTGTTTACAAAGTCGATTTTCTCACATCTCACGGTGAAATAATTTTCATTACTTTCATAAACCTACTAAATATGTTAAGAGTGCGCTCCATAACAGCTGGAAATCACTCTACAATAACTCCTTGCCGGAATGTAACAGTTCACTCCATTGTCTTCGATTCCTATTCATTACTAATCGGTTGCTGTTTTTTTCTACAATTTCGAGGGACTCTGGCATATATTACAAAAGCTTGCAGTCTGACTGTCCTCTTAAAAATAATTTACTCATGTAAAGTATACACATAGACTGTAATACCTGTTCTAAGGTAGATTATCGGAACCTGTATGATCTCGTTCTTCTTGTAGAGTTTTCCTGATCTCTTCTTGTTGTACAACATTATCGATCTTCCTGGCGAAGTCAACGGTCGCTAGGACGGTCAAAGCAATCTCAGCTATTAGCGCTGCCCCATCTGTGGCAAGGGCTGTTACGATCATGGCGCTAACCTTCGTTGTAGTCTCCAACCAATCGTACCATTTGGTCTCTTTGCACAAACTCTTGATTATGGTCCACAGCAATCCAGCTGCGTAGGTGTCTTTAAGAAGGAAGAAAATGGCTTTGGCTCTCTCGGTTGCGCTGTTCCCTGCCGTTTTCCATGTGCTGACAAACTTCTGTAACGCTTGCTGGAATGCTGAAGACTTTTCGATTGCTTTCGCAGTGTCTTCAACGGTTTCTTTCATAGTACTGCCACTTACAGATACCTTTATGCCGGCCGCCTGCATGACAAACATCACTGCTTCCACTACAATACTAGCGTGCTGTAAATTCATGGCCCAGTTGATGTCTTCGTGTGCTGCCAGCTCCCTGGAAGGCAGGAACTCCTCCTGTCCTCCCTTTATCTCCACCAGAGATTTGCCATTGTCCATCTCAGGCTTGCCGATTTCCATGCGGAATGTTGGGATGAAAAGAGCCTCTTCAATCAGCTTGATTCGGTCTTCGGGTAGATGCTTGGCAAGGCGCTCGCGGATGTTTTTTTGAGGTCCACATTCAAACTCGTGAGAGAGCTTTACTTGTTCCTTGGCTATTTTTCTGGCCGTCTCCTTGATAGAATATTTCAATTTTTTAAATGCAGTTAGCTTGGAATACTCTCCAGGGGCATTATTTGCAATATGCGCCAATGCCATTTCTACCGCTTCGGAGATTTTCTTTTTATCTGTCGCCATTTTGCAAGGAACTCACGTTGCTGCATAAGAAGAGGCAAGAACGATTTCATAACACTTCATCTTAGTAGCTGTCTGTCAGAAATACCTAACATTACAACCGAGAGTGCAAATAGAGTTGCATAACATTAGAGATTAAAATAACCAAAACAAAACAAATTTGTCATTTCTTCATATATGGAACTTTAAAACACAAGCTCGATGAGGATCTTCACGCAAAGAGCGGTCTTTTAAAGAAATATATCATACTTATAAGCAATTCTTACGTCATTACTCTCCTGTTAACTTTAGTAAAATAACGAAACAGTAGGGGATTTAGGGGTACAAGTAACGCCTCATGAGTACTTTAAACCGTTCTTAACTACATACAGAAAATGTTTTAAAATCTTTCCAAAATTTCCTTGCATATTGCGCCAGAGATCTTTTTAATCGCTCGATCCCTAAGTGATTTTAGCAAGTTCGGTTAAAACCTTTCCGAACTACTTCAGTCGCATTTGCACGTAGGTTCGTTTTTTTTTTTCTTCTGCTCCGAAAACAGTTTAACTAGTCTAACAGTCTAGCATATGATTTTGCTATGCAAAGGTAGAGAACTTTGAATCATTTTTCATATATACTAGAAGATGTACTTACCAGACACAGCTAGGCCAAGCTTACAGTTTAGTGCAATGGAAGAAATGTAATGTTCTGGAATAGATGTGTTGTTTTTATACGCTGGAAGTTCAGTTTTGGCGCGGAAATCGTGCTCACGCGATAGTCATGAGCATCACTTGCAAGCACCTGCTGACCTTTAAATTATATAATCAGCTGTAATTCACATGTTTCATTTTCACTTTAATTTTTTAAACTCTCAAATCGACCCGCGTGATTTTCTCGGAAATCGCCAAAATAATAATTACACCACAAAATCGCTACCTGTTCACCACATGATCGTTTTTCTCGGAATTAAACGTAGTTACATGTACAATTATAGCAACAAAATCTTAAAGTTTTAGGAGCTGATAGTCAATCTATGTTTTGCAGTTTCAAATCACAAGGTTTTCTTGACGTTAAATACCGAACCAGACTGTACTGCAAGACCTTTTTCAACGACATTATTCAGTTGAAAATGTAGGAATTTTTTCTAGTTTTATCTCGAACCAAAGATGCGCCTAAGTCCTTTTTAAGACAGGACTAGTTGTCGGATAACACAATTTTTCATGTAAGGCAAGAAATCGTTCCTGAATCACCCCTTCGTTCTACTCCTGGTAGGTCTGTATAATGCAGAACTGTGACAGAGGTCAAGAAAATGCTGCCGATGTCACAGATTTCTACTCTTGTTACAGTTTTTAGTCATTCAGATCGCCAGTTTATAACATACGTAGTGTTTCTCCTCCCTCTCCCAAATAACTTAAACGTTGCTGAAATTTCTTACATACGGTAACAAACACACAGAGACGCTCATAAACATCGTGCTCAGCGAATCTAGGAAACTGCTACAAACTTAATGTTTCAAAGAGGAATATCTTTACTTGGGGCGAATTTTAGCCTTAAGAGATCAGATGTTCTCGATCTTTTTATGAGTTTGCGCCGTGGATTCTCTTAGCTTGTCACTTTTGGTTCTCAAATTACTATTGTTCTCTTCAGTAATTGACCAAAAGCAGAGAACGTGGTAATTGTCGCCGTCAGACAGAGACTGTTTCGGTTACATTTCATTGTGAGAAGCCATGTAAGTGACGTAATTTCAATTAAATAGGGAGAAAGTTCTTGCTCTAATTTTTTCCTGTGAGTTTCAAGAAATTTCAGCCAATCTTAAGGTTTTAGTTTGCCTGTCTCTTGCAAGAAATACAAATAAAAGCTAATTCTCACGCTCCTTATCGGCACAGCGCCTGCGCTTTGTTGTGGGAGGTCTAAGTTTATCAATATGGAGACAACTATTGGTCCAATTATTAATTAATTTTATGACTTCCCTTCGCGACCAAAACGAAATCTTGAGATCATATTCTGCCTGTCTGTGGCAAGAAATTCGCTTCAAAGCTAATTCTCACGCACGTTATCCGCACAGCTTTGGATGACCTAACGCTACATACAAAGATACGAAGATGACTTCCCTTCGCGACCAAAACGAAATCTTGAGACCATATTCTGCCTTTCTGTGGCAAGGAACTCGAATTAAAGCTAATTCTCATCCGCACAGCTTTGGATGACCTAACGCCACATACAAAGATACGAACATGAAGATGAAAAATTTTTCAGACTTGAATGCGGCCTTAGGCGTCAAATACCACCAAAATTTGTAATCCTAGGTGCTGGAAAAAAATTGCTAGTGAAGAAGTAAAACCACAGACCAAGTTCGAGCAATATTCCTTATTAATAATGTGAATATGTTTATGTGACGCAGTAAGCGAAATACTAAGACCGATACATGTAGATTGTTGAGAGGGCGCATTTATAACCCAACAATCTGACTTAGTTTTGAATAAAATCTCATTCAGTTCGCTTGTATGTCAATACGTTTGAAACTTGCGCGTTTTCTCAGTAGGCTTAAATACGGAAGTTTTTTTTCTCATTCAATTTTGCTCTTCTTGATTTGAAGGGATTACGAAAAGGGAACTAAAAACCTACTAAATAGCTGTAAATAAGCAAGAAAACTCATGCAATCCAAGCGAACAGGCAAAGATGCGAGGAAAGTTTGTTTTTTTATTCCAAATCAGATCAGATTACTAGGTTCATGAAACGTGACTTCCCGTCTTGCACAAATCTCTATTTTTGCCTATTTCATAATATAAACGTGTTTACATAACATTGCAGGCTCGCTTTCGTGCGTGCTCTACGCTAAGTGGAACATTTCACTGTCTTAGTAATACATGCAATACAAAAAGTATTTAGTTAGTTCAGTATAATATATTCATGCGTTTAGGTACATTTAGTTACTCTATGAATTTTAAGTCCGAAGTTATTTTAGCTCAAACTATGGCGATGAGTTTCTAAATTGCGACTGTCTTGCCTAGCGGCTTCAGTTAGTGGACCTGCCCAGTTTGTCCACTGACCTCAGTTGCTTTGGACCCACACGAAAGTTCTTGTTTTGGCTTAAGCTGTCAAATGTTGATTCGGTTGTGATTGAGAGCAGAAATACATTGTTGTTTATGTTTGGGATTATTGTAGAAGTGTCTGGATTAATGTTCTAACAACATATGTTTTACCTTCCAAGGTCAGATAGCCAGCATGCCCACTCTTGCCTGCTGCGACAAATATATGAGCAAGTAATTTTGAGTTTTAAGGGGGTAACTTTTAAAGAAACTGTGGTGCTGCGTCGGTGGGAGAGTATAACAGGGTAATTTTGTATAATCAACTGAGTTGATAACAAAACAGCCACAAAGCGCGCTTCGAAGATTCTTAAAACTAGTCACGGTATCCTTAAATTACTTGAGATTTTGAAAAGGGAAAATAACTCATTTGAGAATTTGCTTTTCAAATGTCATTTTATCTAAGTGGGAAAAGCGTGAACCACAGGAAGGCCTCGTTTCCTTCGCAGCCGTTGTTTGGTCTCGTCACGCAGCGTCGGGGAGAGGACGTTGCGTGACGAGACCAAACAACGGCTGCAAGGGCCCCGCTGATAGCCTTTAATTTGCTTGCTTTCGCCCCATGAGCTTCCATTAAAGGGAGGAGGGGGAGGGGGTGGAGGAATCTGAGTAACCTGTGTCCTATTAAGTTTTTGGGATTTGAGTATCCCCAATAATTCCAGTTTGAGAACCTGGAATCTCCATTTTAAATAAGAACAATTGATTAAGAAAAAAATGCATGTGAGGTAGTTCTCAGTACACACGCACAAGTCCTACGTGACTTTCCTCAATTTGTAACTAAAATACTTTTTTTAAGTTTGGTGGGCACCTAAGAAAACATAAAATGAAAGCATTGCTGTCACCACGGGTAAAGACAGAAAAATCAGCACACAATGTATAGGATGTTAAGGACCAATCAGAATACAGGATTTGCTTCTGGGCTTATGTAGAAAACAATAAGTGTAGTTTTAAGTTTCAATACTGCTTGTATTTCCTTCATCCCATTCTATTTCTTGAGACAATTTGACCAGTGATAAGTTTGCCAGAAATGAAGGTTCTTTTATCTCTATGGAGAAAGGTAGAAAAAGAGGGAGAGGTTGGTAAGTTTAAAAAATAAACAAACAAACAATACCTGAGTCTTTTTAAATTTTCATTGTAATTTCATACATGGCAGCAAGTTCCTTTTAAACATGGCAATATGAATCTCAATAAATAAGTATTCAATAATGACACAAAAGCTAACTAGTATGGTTTGTTGTTGACATATCCTAAATAAATATGTCTAAGTTTGTTCCAAGTCCCATTTTAAATCATTGTCATTAGCTAAACCCTGGCCATATAAAACTACTATAAAAAGAAGGATAGTGTTCTTTCTAAACCCTTTCAAAATAGGGGTCATCAACATGGGTTTGTTGAAAAAAGAGAAAACACATCCTTACAAATTTGGAGCAGACATTTTTATCAGAAAGTTCTTCTGTACTAACTTTCTCCCTCTTGGAGGAGAAATCATTTCCTCATAACTACAAGAACTGCGAACCTGTGAAATAAATTTAGTTACCCTTAACAAAAGTTGAGAATCTGTCTTTTCTGTAAACTGACTGAAATTGATTTGTTTTAAATATCTGCAACTCTTCACAAGTGAGGAGATGGAAGCTTCACTTACACCAAAACAGCCAATAGCATCCAAGTAGGTCAGATTTGGACAATTTGCGGCAAGAGAAAATACCGAGTTACTTGTGATTTGAGCACAAGATTGTGACCCTCTAAAAGACACATCAAGATATTGCAACTTGTTGCAACCATGAGCAATACTGATGATGCCAGTGTCTGTGATTCTATGGCACCCAGCGACACAAAGGTATTTTAACCTTGGGCAATTCTTAGCCAGTTGTTTTAAAGTTCTGTCTGTGAGCTTGGTGCAGTAGGAGAGGTCCACATGATGAAGGAGAGTTAATGAGCCTTTAACTGATTTAAAATCCAGGTCAGAAACATATGAACATACCTGCATATCAAGCCATTCAAGTTGGTTGCAGTTCTGCAGAATATCATTTATACTGCCATCTGTTGCACGCAAACATTCAGATATCTCTAAGCTTGTTAAACCTTTACAGAAGGTTGCTAAAAGTTTTAGTGAAACATCAGAAATTCCTAAACAACCGTAAATGTTGAGACCACACAACTTCTTGCAATTTGTTGTAATGGCAGCAATTCCAATGTCTGTAACCCCCTGACACCATTTGACATTTAACTGGTGTAAATCAGGGCAGTTTTCAGCAATTCTTTGTACTGCTACATCAGTAATGTTTCCTGCAGGCCTTGGCAGTTCACAGCCACACACATTCAACCACTGAAGCTTTTTACAATGTTCTGCAACAGTTTCGATTGACACATCCGTTACACCAGGACATCCTTCTGCTATAAGCTGCAATAGGTTTGGGCAAACCTGTGCAACAACTGCAATACCTGCATCATTGATACTAGGACAGAAGGAAACATCGAGAGATTGTAACTTAGGAGAAGTACAAACCAATTCCCATAGTACATTGCTGTTAAGTTCAATACAACCTAGCAGGCCTATGCTGAGCAAATTGAACATATTTAAATCAGAAGTCAGATGTTCCTCGTCAAAAATTCCTGCGCCGTGGAAGTAGATTCTTTTCAAACTGTCACTCTCTTTCGCTGCCTTGAAGAACTGATTCGTTAAGAAAAAATTAGATTCGTCTGAATCCTCTTCCTTCTCACAAATGACTGTCAACTCCTGGAGTGATTTACAAGATGTGATCAAATCCTTAAGAATGTTACACGTTATACTTGTTTTATATGCTACGATTTTTAAGTCACGAAGGAGTCTGCAATTCGTTGAAATCACTTTCAACCCGTGGTCAGACAGCAATCGACAGCCTTTTAGATCAAGAATTTCTAAATTGCCACACTTTTTGGCAATACTTTCCACACATGCATCATCCACTTGGTTACAGTTCGAAAGAATAACTTCTTTAACGTTGCCACACCAGGACAAGACGTGATCCAAGGCCTTATAACAGAGTCCTTCGCAGTTTGGAAAATACAACTTCCTCCATAAACTTGAATCTGTTGACAAACGAGACCATTTCTTGCACACAACTCGAAGTCTAAACAAATTATATATACGCTCTCCGGCTACAAAAGCGAAAATGTTTAGGATGACAGCCTCTGGTAAATCTTGGAACGTAATTTCTGCAGTCATTTCTCCCGAAAGAGCTGCAGAGGTTGGCGCTCTACTTGAACTACATTTCGAGTTTTGCTGAAAACAGAGAAAGGCTGGAATCTAGTTTTTAGCTCCCGCATCTCAACAAAATGTCCGAGAGCATCAGCTGATTAACAATTCCCTGGTAACAAGTAATTGTTTTGGTAAACAAATAGTTATTCAAGATATTCGCAATTAGAGTTGGCTTTTATTCATTAGTTTATTAATTGATTTGGCGCCATTAGGTCGAGGAGCTACCCTGACAACTCCACCTTTTAATTTGCTCGCTATTATTACTGAACAACGAACAACAGTTAACTGTGTGATGTTTGACTAAATATTTCACAAAAGCAATTGATGGGTCAAGTCCGGTCTCTTCCAAACAGTGTGTTACCGCCACCTATCAATAACTGCTGCTCAGCTTTGGAAGCCATGAAAGAGGGGCAAATTAACACTTTGGAAACTAATCACCGAACTGAACGAAAAAGAATAATTGTTGCTTCACCTGAAGAACTCTGAGTGACTAGCATACAAATTCACTCCTGAATCACACTAGAATAAAAGATATGATTTTAAGCAAAGTCTCCTTGTCAGCACCATAGGAAATGCCTAGAGAACAGTATGGAGATTATGTATACTGATGTTAGGTTGTAAAGGTTGAAACAATGAAGGAATACCCACCCAACAATGAAACTCCCCATGAGAGAGACAATCCACCCGATCATTTAAAATCGCAAAATGTGAAGCTTTGTAAATCTTAGCGCGGAAAGATTTGTTTTGGATAAACTCGCTGTTTGTCATTAAGGCGTTAGAGGTCAGGGCGATGTTTGAGTAGCAGTTTTCAGTATATTAAATTTCAAGAAACGTGGAGATCATATTTCACTCCCACAGTAATCCAAAACGACAATTTTTCCCAAACAGTGCGCCACCCTGTGAAACGAAATGATGGGTCTATTGATTCTCAGGAAGAACTGTCAAAATTCTGAAATGACATGGGTAAGATTCCTCATAAGTTTCATTAAAATATAGTAACAAGATTGGAATTGAAATTGTGTTCTCTTGTTTCAACTTTCAAACAGACTGACATGACCGTTAGAAAACTAAAATTGCCTCCAAATAATTTGTAATTTGAACAACTTTGCAGAAGCTTCAAATCCCAAATAATTCATTTACGATACGTGAAATTTGAGAAAAGATAGAGAAATTTCCATTTATTCCTTTGCCAAAACCTGTGCAGCGCGAGTGCGAGGGAATCATGCATGTTGTACTTGCAAGTGCTCCAGCTTTTACGCATCAGCTGTGGGTACTGAAGCACAACGAATGTACCAGATGTTGTAGACCTGAAGCTGAACGTCAACAAAAGCCTTTTACAATCAACACACAATAGAATACCTAGACAATTGAAGTTTGAAATGTTTATTTTGAGATTGTACAAACTGCTCTCCTCCTATCTTCTGGTTATTCATTTTATGGTCGATACACTTACTTCTCAATAACAACTGCGAGTAGATAGCAGCCTATTTGTAGCACAGGCGATGTTATTAATATGAAGAAGAAGAATCGAAACAGCACTTTTTAATCGACAGTGTAATTTGCTTTCGCGGCTTTGCTGCGAAGAACAATATAGCCGTCAATAATTAACTCTTACATAATTATCCAACGCATTTATGACACCAGTTTAATTGCTGCCTCGGTGACGTAGAATTTCTTAAGTAAATCAATTTGCATTACAACAAAAAGTTGTCGGATTTTGGGCAGCTCGCCTCAATCGTGTTTTTCAACACACCGTTCTCCTAGCTACAAGAGACAATGAGTGAGACGTTGATAAACACATCGAGAATGTAGTTCAGAGGAAAAAATTTATCAATCCGAGTGCAAGGGGATGGGGTGCAGTGAATCCAAGCCATCTCAAGGCAACGGGAGAGCCGAAGCTGAGGCAATTATTTCATCCAATGGAAACGGATTGCAGGAGACAGAGCCGGCAAAAACCAAAGCAACGGATAATTCGCCACAAGACGTGAACCCAATCCAATTAAATTCCACTCACGAAAGCGTTAAAAGACCTGAAGAGTCGAACATTATGAAACCACTGAGAGCAAGGCCATCCGGTCTGGAAAACGCCTGGGGTAACACAAGAGTCGTAAATAAAAACCTCGAAAATACTTTCAACAAGCCGCAAGTACAAAAGGTGGACGACTTTGGCAGCGAATATGGAAAAGATGGTGTTGATTTAGCTTCAAGTCACGTTCAAAGCATGCAGGATACTGAGAAATTCGTCAGTAACTCGCTTGGTGCGCGAACATCCCCCGATGGTACATACAGCGCTGATTACAATGAGAGACTGAACCATGAACGCCCTGGTATCCATAAGGTAAATATAATGCTAATGACCTGAGAGAGCGTTGTAAAGCACGATGGATTGGCAAATAAGACCAAATAAGCGTTCATTTAATTTATTTTACGTCCAAGTCCTGGTTTGTTTTTCAGGATTTTTTTCCCGCCTCCCATTTGACTTCCACTGGCCGATTAGTCAGATTTTTTTTTAAAGCAAAAATCGCTATCTATACGATTTTGACACTCCACAATACCTTTGGAAAAAAAAATTTAAATACATTTTATTCACCTGAAAGGCTGTTGAAGTCGCAACATAAATGGTTTATTTTTTATTTATTTTCTCTTGGCAGAAAGAATCAGATGAATCTTTCGATCCGTCGAAATTAATAGATATTGAAAAATTCAAAGCGGCAAATGCTCCAGGAAAACAGGTATGAATGATCAAAACAAATTGTTAAGTTCGTCGGATTTTTCGTCGATCTTTTTTTTCCCAATTTTAATTTCTGCCTTTAGCCTACCGAATTAAACCTGATGAATAAAATTTTTCTAACGATAAGGTCCTATTAATTATATCTCACGCAGGGATAATTGTTCATTAGTTTGAAATCCTGGTAAAATCCTTATTTTCGATCAGTGAACTGCTGTAAAGAAACTGATGTACAAAATAGACGCTTCCAACCCTAATGTCTTATGTTTTATTCCTAATGTTATTCACAGTTGTAAACCGGTGTTTTATTCTTTGAGAAACGGAAAGAGACAGATAAAACATGGAAAGATGGCCGGTTTAAAGGCTGATCATTACCTCGCCGTTGTAATATCTGATAGAATTTACTGATGCACCAGACAATGCAGTAGTTGCTAAATGTGCCGTGCAAAAATTAATTAACGGAATGAATTATTTCCTAGCTACATTTTTCCTAACGTAAAATTATAAATCCCTCTCCATCATTTAACAACTTATATTTGAGATTAAAAGCGTATGTATTTAATCAATAAAAAACACTGTTACTTAATTGATCGAAGACAAATTCGGTTATTTCATCACAAATTTTCAACAAGAACTAATTTTAATTGATTAATGAGCTCTGATGTAACTGCTGCCAAACCACCCCTTAAAGTTTTATTAACTATTTTTTTTCCCTGGGTAAATAGCTGTTATCTAACAGCTAACTCTTACTTTTCCTTGTTTTTCAGGTGCAAACGACCACCGCAAAACCAGGTAAGAATAAGAAATATGTTTGCGACATACGCATTTTAAATCAGCCTGAATGATTATCATATTAATTGCACGCCTTAACGTTGTTTTGAACAATAATTATTTGCAAACATAACTAAACTCCGTGATCTGAAAACTAAAAATTTTATTTTCTAATACAGTTTGAAGCGAATCAAGTGAGAAATTAGGTTTGCAACTCTAATATACACAAATAAATTAGATATATGGGAAACGAAAAGAACGTGATGCTGTGTAATTATGTAAATGAAAAGATGTTTTTTTTTTTAACAGTTTTATGTCTCACGGTTACTATGAAATGACTTAGCTTGAAGAGAAGAAAAGTTATCAAAAAAGAACAGCACTGAAATGTATTAAGGCCAAATGAAATTTTAAAATAGTTTATCGTAAACTTTGAAAAACAGGGAACGGAGGAAATTTTTATAATTTACATATAGGCACTATGTAACGAAGCCTGGAACTAATATCACATTACACGTAATTATACAGCAAAATTAAGCAAATATTGAGCTTTCGTGGCTACAGCAGATCAGGCGGGAGGATGCCTGACTCACTCCACACCTAGTGCCTTGTTTTTTGAGTTTAAGTCCTTGGCTCTCTTTAGGCGGCGATTGTGTTTCGCAAGAAGCGCGCGCAGCGTAGCCTCATAGTTCAGAAAATGTGTGCTATATTGTTGTGAGATACTCGTTAACTGCCTATGGAAGTTTGAATAATTTAAAGGAAGTAATGTCAACGAAATGGAGCTCCACTTTTAGGCATAGGTTAGTTTATCTTATGAGATCGTCTGGTTTTAGAGCTGAGGCTGAACTTACTCATCCATTTATTTATCTATTAGTTTATTCATAAACGAACTTTGTGGTTTGAGCCTGATAATATCTTGGGGTGTTATTTAAGCTACTAGCTCTGATATTTCGTCAAATCAACATAGACGTGACTAAAGTAAAATATAAATTTGTATTGTTTGCTCTGATGAAAAGAGAATTTAGTGAAAGGCCATAAATATTTTATGTGGCACAATTTAACACCGGATTCTTGAGGAAAAGGTGGTTAACTCATTTGAATGAGAACATCTGGATACCTGAAACTCTATGCACTTTCCAAAGAAGATTACTCGGAAAAAAAAAACATCTCAAACCGGGATTTACTCTGACGCAATATTTCTGTCCCAAGCATCTAGAATTCTATTTACTCAACTTTGCTATTTACTCACCATTAATGTTGTGAAATAAAACCCAAGCAAAAAAAGAAAGGAAAAAAAACCACCTCTGTTCGATAAATTGGGTTACCGAATTCTCGTATTGGGTATCATCCAAATTTCTTCGTAAATCTTTCTTCTTATTTCAGAATTGTCAAAATTTGATACTGACGTAAACCCCAACGTTCTTGATGTCTCGAGAAAAGCAGCCAGGTGAGATTGTCTAGTTATTTCAGAATTTGCCAAAATTTTTTTGCACCTTTCTTTTTCTTCGTCTTGTTTCATTTTTTGCTCGCTCACTGTGTGGCTTACTTAGTCTCTTTGCCTATCTCTCTGTTTCTCTGTTCGTCTGTCTGAGTTTATGTCTTATTACCCTTGGGCCTGTTTACATTATAGTCTGCCCGCTCGCGCCCGACGGTCCGTCGGACAAAGTCCCTGTCTGTTTGGCTCAAGAACTTCTTCCTCTAACCTATGACCGTAAACTCAAAGACCTCGTTTTCTTTTTCAAATGTCTGAATGGTTGTACCGATCTCAATGTTCGTGATTTTGTTTCCTCTGTTTCTCACAGCCAAACCAGGCTAAGTACTTCTTATAATCTTAAAACACCTGTATGTAAAACAAGTTCCTTCCAAGCCTCTTACTTCAACTGCAACGTTAACTTTGGAATTATATGTATCTGAAAATTATCACCTCCTACCAGTTTTCCAACTATAGAGTCCTTTCATAATTTTTTCAGTCGGCAGGTTTTATCTTCTTTAGAATTGCTTTGATGTAAACCATTCCTGTACTTGGAAAATTGTACGATCCTGCTCCTGTCACCCGTAGTTTCTGGTTTCTTTTTCCTAAAAATTATTCACCATGTTTTAGAATTCTTTGTGTTTTCTTTTGTTATCTCACGGGCGGTGCCTGGCATGGGTCCTTGTGTCCCGGTCGCGTCAGCCCCATTGGGTCCACGACGTTTTTTTTCCTGCTTTGCTCTCTCAATAATTGTTCTTATTGTGTCTTGTATTTTCGAATCATATCGTATATTGTATTAGTATTATATGAGCCATACCCAATAAAGCTGTTAAAAAAGTCTGCCATGGTCTGTCAGTCAGTCTTTTCGCTTTTCTATCTGCTGCCTAGTTATGTACCTACGTGCCTGTGCGTCTGTCTGTCTGTCTGTCTATTAGTCTGCCTTCTTGCTACCCCCTAACCTGTCTGTTCTGTCTGTCTACTGTTTTGCTTTAATATTCCTGTTCGTTCGTCCTTCCATCTCGCCGTATATATTCACCTTCTGGCGTCTACTAACTTTTCTTATGTTTATATCAACAGTAATGATGTAGAGAGGCCGCTAAACTATAACGAAATTTACGACGACGATGAAAAGCAACTGATTGCCAGCATAGAGAATGACTTTGAAACAGCTTTGCCAGGATCTGTGTTCTAACAAATAACCGTTCCCTCCTAGGTAATGAACGGTAATTTATAACCGCGTATTAAAGATACACGTAATTTACTTCGCCAAGAAACTCACTCATTTTGGATGAAACTACCATTTAAGCTCCAAAAAAATCTCATTGAATCAGTGTAATGGCTTAAGGGATTTTCATCAAATTGTTATTGTGGCTAAGACTGTTTTTATAGCGATTAGATCGGTTTTACTCATCCTCACGACCAACGATATTCTGTTTTCTTATGTTTAATTTTTGTTTGTTTTTCAATAGAAATCCAAAAGTAGAGAAACAGCTCGATTCTCCTGGGAGTCACTTCCGTGAAGCTGCGTTTCTTTTAGCTTTAAGAAGTTATTTTTGAATGCGATAGGATAAAGTCATGTTTTCAGTTTCACATCTCCATTCTACGGTTTCAGATCCACGGTATTTTCGGGCGTTTCACCCTGATGCATCAACGAAGTCAGAGAAGAGAAACACTATGTATTGTGAACGAAGTTTACCCCCAGGTGGACATGGTAGACTGATAATAGCCATACCACAGTCATCAGTCTCACGAATTCCACTCACAGCTCAATTTTCCTAATGAAATGAAGGCGACTCATTCGTCTGTACCAAATAAACGGCATAAAATCGTGTACACAACTTACACTGTTTCAAGGAATTCAAGTCGTTTAAGAACTATTTTTTATAAAGAGAAACATAAAAGAGCCTAAGAATTTATCAGCGTCAAGGTTTTAACAGCAAGGAAGTAATGTCGAACTAAGTTTGACTTCATTTCTTTCAGTTACGGAAAACCTTGTTTGTCTCACTACAGGGGCCTTTTGAGTATATGCATATTAGAAAACGTCGAAAAGTAAAGAAGTATTTAAAAACTGTGCATCGTTATTATCCTGTACAATATCAAGCACAGTCTCAGAATAAAAGTCAGAATATAAAATTTTGAGTGGCTGCCCTTTCCTACTTTCCATGGACTTTCATCAAGAAATCTTCAGCAGGTCCAAGGCATTTTGAAGGATGTGTTTCTCTTGGTTTCTTAAGCTCAAGGCCAACTTTGCATTTTCAGATCGTTGGATATCTGAACTCAAGAATTTAGCAATATTTTTTTCATCTAACTCATAAGATATTAGAACCCTTTCAATTAAGTTTTGTCTCCATTGTGAAACTCTATTTTCAACATCATCCCCAAGAAATTCACCAGTCAAGACTCTTTGCCAATGCCTTTTGAAGTGGTCCTCCTTCATTGCGAGAACCCTCAACAAGACAAGTAGATTCCATGACAAACCACTTCCCTCTGAACAACATAAGTCCTTGTGTAGCTTGTTAATGGCAATTATTTCCCTCTTCTTTCTTGAAATACCAAAGATATCAGGTAGAACAACTGAGTAAATTAGATCTTCAGAGAAAGCAACAGTATTGTGCAAGTTATGTGGCAAAATAAAACCATATTCTAAAAGCAGTTTTCTGTTATCGTGGGGCCCATAGTTAATAAAAACCTGCATTCCTTTCTTGTAGGGTGTAAAAGTGCAAATTTCATAATGTTTACTTTCTTGGTTGAATCCAGCTTGGACCTACAAAACAATTTTGATATTCCTGAAAGAGTTTTAATCTACCCTATTATTTATGTCAGCAAGAACAAACGATAAAATCTAAGGTGACTGAAAGAAGTTTGACCAAGGGAAATTAATGGGATGAGTACCAACACTGGTAAAAGGTGAATAAAATGATAATAGTGATGATAATGAACTACAGAACAATTACATTGGGGATGACAATAATGAGAATAATAATGCTGATGATAAAGGTGTAATTATGAGAGTAATAATCCTACAGTAACTGATACTGCTTATGGTGATGGTAATCACGGATGCTGAAGGGGTGTTTAGCAGTAATACACACTGGATAGGCTTCAAGATTTTTCCACTCAGGTTTGCAAATTACTAAAAGGGGCTACTATCAAAATGGCCGAATTTTCAAAAAGAATACTCAGACACTAAGGTTACATTCTTGGACTTGATCATGAAGATGACAAGATCATAATGCTGTTACTGCTTACAGTGTTGAAGATGATGATTTGGTGTACAAGTGGGAAGTGTTATTTTCATTGTGTCTATTGTCTTTGTCGTTATCATCATCATTACCATTGTTAAATTGTTAATTAGTAGAAATCTATATACCTCTGTTGTGTCATTATGGTTCAGCAAATCAAGAACTGGGGCAAGGGCATAGTTATCCTGTGTCTGCAACCTGCTGCCTGGTAACAAATCCATGCAGTTGGCTTTGAACACAGACCTTGTGTTAACTACAAACCACGCCCATCTGAACTCATCAAAAGTCAAGAAATCCAAAAATGCTTTATCCAGCATAGTTGAATCATTTTCAACATATCCTTTCAGCTCTTCAAAAGATTCACGCACAGTTTTGATCTGGGAAACACACTGTTGCTGTAAACTAGACGGCAAAGCACTAAGCTCTTCTGCTTTGAAGTAAGCAGGAGTGTTAAAAGATGTGGGTAATGTTCTAATGTAAGGGTACCAGAAAGAGCTTCCTCCCTGGAATTTTTCATACAAGATAAAAATGCATAAAATCTGAATCGCTGTCAGGGAATACTTCGGTTGTAGTTTGATGAACGTTTTCACAATCTGGCTCCTTTCCGCTGTTTTTGTCGTAATTAACATTTTCTCTGGAACAGATATCACTAAATCACCTTTTGAAAGCTTTCTACAAGTCATCAAACCTCTTCCTGTCTGTCGAAAGTACGCTGGACGAAGTTTACCGAAGGAGATGCCATTTCGTTTCGCCCACTTTAGGAGTTCAATATAGCCTTGTTCAAACACAGCTGCACCAAATTCCCTTCGATAATCACCGTCCCTTTTACGCTTACGCCTTCTTCCAGTTCTACCATACGATCCCATTAATATCATTTACAAATCAACCCAAAAATGGAGCACTAAAATTGGATTGTAAGGTCTAACACGTTCTCCATTTTGAAATTCCAAAACGTCAGGGTCTGGGTTCTAAGATGTTTTTTCCATAGTGCATTGCAAACTGTGGAAGAACCAAAATAAAACATGGCGGACTAGTTTCCGCCTCTGTGAAGAAATATAGTGAATTCAGTTTTTTACGCCAAACATGTCCTTCGAAATTCAGAGGTGGAAAGCTGAGGCTCATGAAAATGCTGCAAAGACCGTGGCAAATATGCTCCAAGTAAGATCCTTACTGCGATGTACAACGCTTGTTCAAGCACCTAAAAACAATATTCAGCTGATCGAAATATATCAAAACATGTTGCCCCACAAATGTATGGGTGTGGAATTTAATCTTGGCAAAACTTGCAATGTACCTTGTGCAATGTACCTTATAAACTGTCAATTTCTGTTTTCATCGATTTACAATCGAGTATTCAGCACTAAACAGCTTTGTCTGAGACAGTATTTAATAGGGTTACACTTCAAGATAAACCCACATAAATCAGTTTCCGTCATGCCTGATGGCCAAATTTTGCCGATTTTTTAGCATCCTGACAGCCTGGACAAAGTGGAACAATGGAGACGGAGATATATGAGAAACAAGGTTTGTTGCAGTTCATCATTGCCCAATGCACATTCTAACCTCATTCTGGTGGCTGGAACCTGGACCTTTTTTCTTGATCATGAGTTCAACCCGTCCTCCTTTGATATTATACATAAGTGTGTAATGGAAATGTCGTCTATAAAATGGGAGGCAGTGGAGGACTATCTAGTCTACACTCCTCAAAGAAGGAGAAATGACACAATGGCCATTATTGTGCGTCAGTGAGATGTAAATAGGTCGTCTTGTATTCTAAAGTTCTGCAGAAGTGATCATTAGTGTTTGGGTTATTGAATACATGTTAAGCCAAAGGGGGAGAAAAGCACATTCAGTCTCATTAGGCATGCTTTGTATGGAGAAAATTTTAACTTTGTAATACTTCACAGGCATCAGCTGAAGCCAGACTGAAGACAGCTGTGCAGTCCCAATTGGATGGTGTCAGAACAGGGCTTCATCAGCTCCATGGGTGAGACAGATCTTGTATATGACAGAGTCAAATTATAATTCAAATTTATCACAGTTTTAATCCTGGTTTTGATTTCAAGTTTTTTAATTTGGAAGGTTTTTCTTTTCAGAGCTCTTCAAGATATTAAGGAAATTAAGAAGAGGTAATTAATAATATTTATCTTCAGATGTAACAATCTGTTACACCTAACTGTTTAGTTGAAATCATTTTGACTGGTTTAGAACATTTTACTTTGAGTTTTCAATTTTTGACAACCTTAACTTTGTGAATTGCCAGAAGTTTTAAATTGTTCACTGCCAGAGTTATACCATACAAAAAAAATTTGGGGGTTCACAACTTGTTGATCTCATTAATTTAGTCCTGTTATTAAAAAAAAAAAAAAAAAAAAAAAAAACACAGAAAGCATCTGTTACTGGATTTGTTCAGTTTGGAAATTTTTGAAATTCTGCTAAAATCTTAAAATGAAATTGAGTTCCTGAAATTCAGAAACATTTTGCACTAATTTATGAACCTCCATTATTTAATTAATTCTCATTTGATTCTAAAAAAAAATAATACCTAATTTTTTCTTAGCATGAATGAAGTGGATTCTATGTGCAAAAATGTGGAATATTTAGCAGATGAGCTGCAGACTGTTAGGGACTGTCAATTACACCAGAGCAGGGTATGTATGATCATGTAAAGGTTAACCTGTTACACCCTATCATCAGTATGTATATTCTCCATACTGTTCTCTATACATTTCCTGAAATGCTGACAAGGAGAATATATTTGAAAATCAAGAGCTTTATAAGTTGGTGATGATTTCCTTTATTCTCATGACCTTAATGTTTGATTCAGGGGTGATATTGTAAGGAGAAATTAGAAGCTGATCACTCATAGGGGTTAAGGAGTTAAAGGTCTGTATACAAACCAAGTGGCCCATCCAGCCTGAACTTATTCAGTTTTCTGTAGCATGAGGTGATTAGAAGTTTTGCTAACCCTCCCCCCCCTCCCCCCCTCCCCCCCCCCAAATGGGATCCTACTGAAAGATTACTCCCCAGCATTTCATAAAATAGAACAAGTTTATAGGTCTGTCAACTTACCAGGACCTTCAAGAAAGGGGCCCCAGGCCAGGTCTTAAATATGGGCCTCTCAATCCACAGAGTCCAATGCACTAAGCATACAGCTGCTGCACCTCCCACTCCAATTACCTCTAGGGGTGAAAATTCATGTTAGCTGTAGTGTATTGATTTTTAGTATAAATTAATTTCTCTAATATTATTTCCTCAACAGATATCTAAAGCCTGTGAACATCTTAATCTTATCTTCACTGTTCCAGACAGTGTAAAAAAAACAGAAGCCTTGATCAATGAAGGAAAACTTCTCCTTGCTCACAAATGGTAATGAGCATTACGTTGCATTGATCATGGCAATCATTTAGCAAACCTTACTGTAAAATGGCCACTGAAATTTTTAAGCAGATGGATACTAAACTGCATATGGAATGATGTAGATGAACACCAAAATAATGTATTTAAAAGCAGCTAACCATCTATCCTGAGTTTTGACCAGTTAGATTTATTTTTTTGGCCAAGAAAGTGTTATTTAAGTTGGAAAAATTGCAGGCATATGCGTGGAAGAGGGTATTTGCTAGACCTTCACAGTCGTACATATGGTAGTTGTCATAAATTGTAGTTTAACATGATTTCAAGCTAGACTTGATTTGTAGTTTCTTTTGCTTCAGGATTGTGTTAAATGTATCAAGAGCAAAGATGAAAACAAAGACATCTAGTTTTAGATTATATACACCCAAAATTACTTTAAGTTTCCACTGCATTTGATAATAACCTTATGCCCAATGTAAAAAAAAGAAGAAGGTAGATGGATGTAAATGGATGTAAAAAAATCCTGTTGAATAGATATTAATTCTAAGCACTGTGGTCAAATGTAGTTTATCAGACTTGGAAGCCACCAGGGATGAACTCCTGCTGGAAGTTCACAAGATGGCACAGGAAGAAGAGGGTCCAAAACCTGATAAAACAGTGAGTTTGTTGTAACATTTACTAAGCTTGCAATATATACAACGACTTTAAGATATTGTTTTGCTCTGCCTTGAGCTTCTTCTCTCTGCTCCATTTTGATATGTCAGCATTTTGGATTCCATTTGTAATTGAATATAACACCATGCAGTGTAAAGAGACTGCATTTCTTTATGTATGAAATAAACTACTAGTTTCAGTTTTGTCCTTCTAAAATTGAGCTGTGATTTGCTGGTTTTAATGGGACTGTTGAGCTCAATACAAGTGTACAATTACATTCTACAAAAATTATGTAGAAGCAATAGACAAAATGATATTAAAAGGTTGAAAGAACCTTAAAGTTTGTAGTGTCAATATACCTTACTTACTCTGTTTTCACTTCCTCTTTCTCCCAGCCGCTGTACCAATACTTTGATGTAGTCAAAAAGTTATCAGTAAGTAACATGTGTGACTTTATGATTTTTTTTTGTCTTCTTGTACAGCAAGCCACTTACGTTTAACCCTTTACACCATAACATCAGTAAAGGTATTCTCCATGCTGTTCTCCTTTAACTCCTATGAGTGACCTAGACAGAATTTCTCCTTACAATATCAATACAATGTCAACCAGATAAGTGATGAGAATAAAGAAAAATATCAATTTTGGGATAATTAGTTGATCCAATACTAAATTCTCAGAGCTAACATTACAAGAATTGTATAGTTGACAGTAAGGAGAATTACGAATTTGATCTGGGAGTTAAAGGGTTAAAGGGTTAAACCAAAGAAAATATTTCAACATCTGAATTGAATGAATAGAGGAAGAAATACTGAAGAAATGTAAAATGGTTTCCGTGTTTACATAGCCTGATGTAAACACGTGGGAGGTTGGGAGAACACGAGATAAGTGTAGGAAACCACAACATGAAGCGGAGTGGTTTCTAGGTTATGAGTGTTCCCCCAACCTCCCAAGTGTTTATATCAGGCTACATAAACACGGAAACCATTTTACATTTCTTTTATAAAATAACTAATGAAAGAGGAATGAAAACCGTGTTTACATGTGCTCATGTAAAATGGTTTTATGGCCAATCAGAGCGCGTGTACTATTTGAATTATTTTATAAATCATTTTATTTACCAGTTAGTTGATGGATATCCATGCAAGAATTTTTTTCAATTTTTCAGGATTCCCTTGGCAAACAGTGCTGGGTTGTGTTGGGGAGGGTGCTTAGTACAGTTCGTAGTGACCCCGCCCAGTTGGTGACAGCCCTAAGAATTGTTGAAAGAGAAACAAGGTATCATCTGCTTTGCATTATATTCTATTTTTTTGGATCAACTTATTTATTCTCAAGAGTCATCTCTTAACATTTTTACTTATGAAGTTTAGAGAACTTGCCAATATATGGAAAGTATTTCATCTTAGTTGATCATCTACAGTTTTCTCCTAACCAGTTTAGTCTAAATCAGGATTTATCACAAGGAGAAAATAGCAAATGATCACTGTGAGGTTTAAGCAAAGAAATGATCCTTGCAGTTGGGCTGCAAACATGAAAAAATTCAGGCTTTGGTGGGATTTAACACTTTAACTCCCAAGATCTGATTGTTAATTCTCCCCTGTAGCTGCTACACATTTCCTTGTAAATAAGTTATGAGAACTTGTTGCTAGATCAAGATAGCAACCTCTACCTGATAAGTTTGAATATTCTCATGACCTGTTTGCTGAAGAATGTACGAATATTGTAGGGAGAAGTTTTATGTTAATCACTTCTGGGAGTTAAAGGGTTAAACTGTCTCTTGGGTACTGTTAAGGATATCGAACAAAAGAACAGCCCTTTTTTTTTGATTAGATCAATTGTCAATTACTTTAATTTGTGTGCCTAGTTACAATCGTAGTTACAATGTTTATCTTTTTCCCTATTGGTTTGTAATCGGATCTTTTAGCATCACCACGCGCATATAAAAGATAAATTAGCGTCCCTATAAGCCAGAGTTTCGCAAGATTTCGCCTTGAACAGCAATAACTTCGTTCTTTCGTTCCAAACCTTTGGCACAAGCGGGACCGATATTTTACGATTGTGATCGTGATCGTGATCTAAATAAACACTGTTGATAGTCATCTTGGTTTTCGTGGTTTCATTACGACTTGTAAAATAGTTCCCACATCAGCGACACTTAGAAAACACGCATAGCGACACCCCTCGAAGTTTCCTCTTTCGTCGCAAGCGTCACAGGTACTCGTAGGGAATACTAACATTACTGAGCTATGAAGCTAGATGTTGGGAGAAAGGAAAATTTTCAGTTTCAAATGGTTGAACTTTGAAATTCACTTACAGTGCATAATTTTTGAAAAAAAAATTGAAACTACTGTATTGTATCAGAAGAGTTTTAATATTCATGTATCATCTACTCACAGAGCTGATAAAAGAGCAGAGGAAAAAGAAAAAAATATGGGATTTTCTGTGCCTGGACGGCCTAAGAAGTGGAGAGATAAAGCATTTAAGGTTCTAGAGGAGTCTGTCAGTAACAGGTTAACATGCAGTTATGAAAATTCTTGAAATTTAAAGAGAATGTTATTTTGGAATATTTCTCACATGTCACTGTAGATTCTAACTGTGAACAGGTTAAGAAGATTCTGACATTTGTTTCCTCTTCAGCTATTAATAACTTTTGTATAATGCATACTCAAGAGCAATATAGTGTTTCTTTGTTGTATATTAATGGTGGATTTTACCATCTTGTTTTCTGCACTACTTCTCCTGTCTGTCTCTTAAATTTTTCAAGATGTACACACTATTTCGTACTTCCTCTGTCACAGGGTAACCAGTTCTTTGTTGGCTCTGGTGGCACCACTGTGCCTGGGTCACAGGGGATGCTAGCTTTATGTGTGGTTTACTTGCAGGGAGAGCCCTTGAAAGAATTGCATTTACATTTACATTTACCTCAAGCAGTGATGACATGATTTGGGAATTTCAGGTTTGAGAGTCTTGACATGGAACTGCAGGATAGAATGGATGACAAGATGTGGCTGGTGAAACATCTTGAACGCACAAGGAAACTTGTTTTGGATGATTTGATTGTTGTCAAGGTTTGTTTTCTTACTCACCCTTATCTCATTAATGCCAAATGACAAAAATTTCATCATCACTGAAAGAAGCAATTTTATTAACTTCAACCTTTTAAACTCCCATGAGTGACCAAGAAAGAATTTCTCTTCATTATGTTAAACAAACAAGTGATGAGAATTAAGAAAAACATCAATTAGGGAACTATTAGTTGATCCAACATCAAATTCTCCAAACTAACAGCATAAGAATTGTATGGTAGACAGTAAGGAGAATTACTAATGAGATCTTGGGAGTGAGAGGGTTAAGAGAGCATTATGGGAGTATTTTTGGAGAGCGAGTGCTCGGTGTTTGTGTGTGAAATGTTTGGCTGCTATCATGTATTTTTTTAAAGGAGGGAAAGGCGAGGGAGAGAAATAAATCCTATCACGTTTTTATTGTAATATTTACGTTCTTATTCGTCTTAGAACTTGTGTCAGGTTTGTTTCCCTCCAAGTTATGACATATTTGATCGCTACATCAAAATGTATCACAAGGCACTCTCCGTCATGGTAAGGAGCTTAGAAGTCACTTCATTCATTAAATCTATTTATTGACTTCGATACGAACCAGAGTATTTTCTTCAATTGTAGTTTCTTCGAATTTGCAAGTTTGTATTGACAAGACGAGGAACGTTTGATTGTGGTTACAACATGAGGGTTATACCCAACATCCCGAGGGCATACATGTACCTGGACCCGACTATCGATTCTCGATCCTTCGGTCCTCGAATCTCGAAGACATTTAGGGTCGAGGGTCGTGTCGGATTTCGAGACGTTCGGGCCTGCTCGAGATATTGTCCAAGATCTTCGTGAAATATACGCGACGAGAAACAAACGATTTTTGGCGTGATTGCGTTGTTTGAGGTTCAATCGGTTTGGAGTGATTTAACGTTCACCTTATTGATTTTGATTTTGCCAGTTGGAAAGATTTGTTCTGGAAGAAAGACTTGATTCGAATGAGTGCATCAGTCTGTTAACCTGGATCAAAGAATACAAGTAAGTAACTGAAGCAAAGGAAAAAATACTGGAACATTGCTGATCCTATCAGTATGTAACTAGTGTATAACGTAATGCACCGACAGAGTCTCTCACTTCCGCGTGACCCCTTCACTGAGGGAATCAGATTTTCCTTTTTTTTCCTACCTTTTTGATCATCTTTGTGAAGAGCTCATTTCTAATGCAACTAGCTTGACTTTCCATTGGTGAAGAGCCAAGCTCGGAACCTATAGAAACTTTAAACCCTCAGTATATAGCACTTTTAGTTAATGTAAGCTGAAGGCTTTCCTAATACGTATCATACAGTTCATAGGAATTTTTCCTCTCATCTTTTGCTAGCCCATTTGTTGCAGCCTGATCTTGCTAGTCATCATTCCCTTAGTCACTGTTCCGTTACTATTATGGGGCCTACATTTGTCGTGTGCATCGTTCGAGATATGTTTGGCAAACTGCTTTGGCAGATTATGTTCGCATTAACCTTTTGACCACCAACTAAAGAAACATTGATTTTTAAACAAATTCTCCTGGTCAGCACCTTAGGAAATGTATAGAGAACAGTATGGAGAATATGCATACTGATGTTAGGGTGTAAAGGGTTAAACTTTAAATTCGTTGAGAGTTGGCGTGACTGCTGGACTTAAATATATCAGAACGAAACATCATTTGACTGCGCTTGATACATTTTTTTTACATTAGGGGAACTGATCTTATGATGCATCCAGAGCTACAGATTGATGTTGGATTCCTAGGACCTCTGTTATCGCCCAAAGTTGAACAGGAACTGCTAGACACGTAATCAAAACTTTGTTATGTACTTTCAAATTGTCCCTTTTACGTACTCCTCATCGTAATATGCTCGTGATGTCTCGCCACGTAATCATACTGTCTGAATGAACTTTTAAGGAGCCAAAGAGAATTGGGGTTGTAAGCAAGTAAAGAGTAGGAATCGCATGTAGTCAAGTTATAACTGGTTTCATTTTTGTATCTGATTGGTTGAGATATTGGCGCGAGTTTTCGAGACCAATGAACAGAGCGAAATCCTCGATCATTTTCGACACGAGATTGAAAGTTGTTTTTTAGTGAAAGTTAGATTAGTAGAAATAACTACTACTGTATCACAATTAATTCAACTTCTTTTTCATCAGCTACCTCACGACCACTAAAAACAACATGATGGAGTGGATGACCAGGCTGGCCGAAACAGATCTTCAGGTGATGAATTAACGTTTGTATGGTGCCGGTTTCACAGAGGATTTGGACTCCCCGGTTCAAATCAGTGAGCGGATATGGACCCCCTCTCGCTGATTTGGACCGTTAAAAGACTGGGGGGTTCAAATTAAGGGGCGTCCAAATCCGTTAGCACACTGGCAGTTGCTGATACTTTTTTGAATGTTTACTTTTGGTCGAATTATCAGTTTGGCCACCCTCTAGCTTTAAGAAGTGATTACTCTGCAAATTCACCTCTTCATTCTAATACATTATGCAGTAGACAGGCTACGAGATTAGACAATGTTATCAGTTGAAGAGTGTTGTTTTGATGCAACTGCAAACTCTCTCAACTTATTTGCAAGGAAATGTGAGGCGTTAAGAAGGGAGAGTAACTTATCAGATCTTGGGGGTTATGAGGACAGTAGCTTGCTGTTACTTTTTGTTGTTTTTTTTTTCATGGTAACTGCTGATAGCTAGGTTTGAATATCTGTTGCGTTTCTAATTCCAGGACTGGAACAGGGACGCACCGCCAGAGACAGACATGGATGGTTTCTACAACACATCGCTTCCAGTTTTCCTTTTTAAAATGGTCGATCAGAATGTGAGTTATTCTCTTATTTTTGCAAGAAATACTATCCAAAGAACAAGATTTGGCCCTTTTTTCCAATTTTTGGCCATCCCAGTAAACATTACTTTTTTTTTTCAGCTGCAAGTTGCAGCGAAGGCTGGAGAAGAGATCAAACTACAGGTCAGCTATAGAAATGAATTATTCGCCGCATTAAACGTAAACTTCTAAAAGGGTTGTATGGTTTAGTGATGTTACACTAGGACCAAAGTGATCGCAGTAAAATATTGACAATAAACGTAAACAAGACTTAAAATCTAAAGTAATACCTTGCGATTTTCTTCTTTGCTCAGATTCTGGATATTTGTCTTGAGTCTATGCAAGGTTTCCAGAGGGAATATAGAGGTAACTAGTTATTTAGATGGTAAAGTTTCAGCTTGTCTTTGAAAACGAGCTGAAAGAAAGGATCATATAAGAGAAAGATGTTTTTCGTCTGGTCACGAGCGTGGGAAAAAGAGAAAATTCTGCGTCCACATGAGGAAACGAACCTCAAACCTTCGGATTCCGCGCTCCGATACTCTACCACTGAGCCACTGGGACTCCACGGTGTACATTCATATATGACACGCATCCTGTATACTTCTTGGATCAGCTATGTCGAATTGTGTCATGTTTTTTAAATAGGATAAGAAAGATGGTAAGTTTTAAGCTCGGTTAAGATATGTAGAAAGATGTTTTTCGAATCATGTTATTCGTTGCGTGTGGTTTAATCTGTAGGTCAAATCAGAGCTTTCAAGAGCAAACACTTTGAGGACAGAATGCAGCCTGTGAGATTTGTGGAATACATAGTAAGAGTGTTGCTCAAAAGTTTGCGAAGTTAATATTTGATAGGCACTTATGGTAGTCTTGTGACACAATCTGGTGTCCCAAATTCGACACAATTCACATAGTGCAGTAGTTTTTTCCACATTATTTATTTCTTTGGTTTGTTTATTTTGTCTATATGTTCCGTATCCTTTATACTAATGTGCGTGACGCAGTTATAAGAAATAATCATCCTTATCCGTATTGGTGGGAGTTACAGATAAAACTGACTTACTTGACTTCGAATAAAGGAGATAAATTTCTAGAGAAACTGTGGTGCTACGTCGGTGGGAGAACGTAACAAGTTAATTTGGTATTGTCAACTGAGTTGATAATGTCAATTGGCCACCGTTAAGAGTTTCAAAGCTGACTATTCGTTAGCCCTGCGTCAGAGCGAACAGAGGAATTGTGGATTTTGTGTGTTTTATATGCGGACTTCGTCCGAGCGATAGTTGGCTAAAAGAAGATCAAAAGCGAATCACCGATAATGTATCCGAGTCACCAACCGAGTGACCGAGTGTCACTGCTGGTGTACATTACAATAGTTATCGAGAGCGTATCGGAATCACTAAGATCGAACGAGTGTCAGCGACAGCGCACGAAGATCACCACGAGTACACGAAAGGGTCAAACTTTTCATCAGCCCTTCCCATTCATTTTCTTTGCTCCTCGCTCATTCACACAAGTAATTTCAAAGCCTTTACTCTACGTTTGTCTTGTAGAAGCTACGCTGTTCTTGAGTTTACAACTGAGTGTGATTTTTCCCTCTTTGCTAGGTGGCCATCGTAAACAACTGCAAGGCGTGTATGGACTTTACAGATCAACTAAAGGTAGGCTTCAAGATGTAACTGCGCTTTTCGCTTGCGCGTCGTGAACCAAAACTAAAATGATCACAACGGCCATTGAGAAGAAAGGGATATGCCCTAAACAGCCAATGAGAACTCGAAATAAAAACTCGCAAACTTCCTAAAGCGCGGGAAAACGCGGGTTACCAAGTGGTGATTGGTTTTTAACATGCATCTGATTGGTTAGAAGTTCATTAGCGCAAGTTTTCCGGGTCAATCACAGAGTGAAGGGTTGGATCAAGCGAGCACAAAATCGGGTAGCTACAAAGGCGAAGAAGTGTAAGTCTAATCGACGCGAATGTATGTTTTTGTTCTTAGCTTTACCAACTTTCAACTCTTGTTTATTCTCTGTAGGAGCGGTTAGTGGCTGAACTTGGCCGAGCAACGTTTGGAGAAGATAAACAACGATCATTTAAGAGCGTCGTCGACTGCTTCGCACAGATAGGAGAGGAGAGGTTTGTGCGCTGACACAAGTTTTATTTGTCAAAATGTTGGTTACTTAAGCGCTTTTTATCGGAGTATCGTAAAACGAATTCCAAAGTAATTACAGAAACCAGTCAGAACAAATACAAATGTCTCTTTGAGAAGTAATGGTAACCCAGAGTGAAGAAGAAAAACAATTTCCTCGAGGCGCGGGAAAAAGGCGAGGCAGCAAGACGCGTTTTGTTTCAATTCTTCATCTAATTGGTTGAGAGGGCGTCGCAAACTGAGATGTCTCGACCAAAACAATTTCTTTGAGGCGCGGGAAAAGGCGAGGCAGCAAGACGCATTTTGTTCAATTTTTCGTCTAATTGGTTGAGAGGGCGACGCGGATTAAGATGTCTCGACCAATCACAAAGGGGAAGCAATTACGTCGATCCTGAAGCGCGGGAAAACACGAGCGACCAAGTTGCGACTTACTCTTGGCTTGCATCTCATCTTAATTTTACTTATTTGCTGTTTCCAAATGAAATTTTTTTTTGTTAATATTTTTCAGTGCTGGATACCTCTTGGATGAAGCATTCTTGGACCTGGAGCCTTTTTTCTCACAAATTATGACTCCTGCATGGTATTGTATTTCATGTCCAACAAACTTTGCAATTTTAATGAAAAGTTGTTCAACCTTTTAACTCCCATGAGTGACCAAGACAGAATTTCTCCTTACAATATCAATACAATATCATGCTGACAAGTGATGAGAATAAAGAAAAATATTAATTAGGGGATTATTAGTTGATCCAATACCAAATTCTTCAAACTAACATCACAAGAACCATATGGCAGACAGTAAGGAGAATTACCAATAAGATCTTGGGAGTTATAAGGTTAAAACTACATTTGTGACAAGTTTTGTATTTGGAATTAATTTCCGAAGACCAGACAACTGAAACCTTTGGTCTTTCGACGACTGTTTGGATGCTATCCCACTGAGCTTCGCAGAACTTGATTTTTAGTGTCGCCATTTTCTTAGGTCCTATTTGACATTCGTCCTCCTGCCCAAAACCTTCCTTGATTTTTCACTCCTCTGAAAACATCGCACCTTTAACTATTAAGCTTCGTTTACTAACTGAAAGAGAAAACTTCAAAGGGGTGGTGGTTGTTGGATCGTTAGTTGATCAAGGAAAGGTTTAAATCTGCTTACTCTTTTTAATAGCAGTTTATTTCTAAAGGCCTGATATTTTCTGTTTTTTTTTTTTTTTTTTAGGATACCAAGTCCAGAAGCTGTGGACACAATAATTGTCACAATAGAGGATTACTACAATGACTTTTTACACTTGAAAGACAAGTAAAGTGAACTTGAATGTTTCTTTTATAGCTATGGGAAGTTTTAGTGCTAACGGCATGATGTCTTTACAACGTCGCGCACACCGAGATACCACTCGATGTTTTGTGAACCGGCGTGAACCGAGAAAGCGTGAGCGCGACGTGAAAATGCTTTAAAGTGAAGTGAAAATTGTGGAAACTGGTTTATGATAAAGGAGAAGACTCGGTGACTGTTTGGGTTTTCTTACGCTGATTAGTTTTTCAATAAGACTCTTTTTTCGACAGATTTTTCGATAACCTCATGGAACAAGCTCTGAAGAAAGTGCTGCTAGAATATGTCCGTGCAATGCTGAACAAGTATGGTGTTGAATATTTTTAACTGTTTTGTATTTTGTGGACTTAACTTCTGGCATTGCCGTATTGCTTGCGAAAAGCGGGAGTGTTTCAGATTTTCATGATGGTCGGCGATCATTCACTTTGTAGTTTTGTCTGACGAAGACGTAAATGAACGCGTGGTGAAAATTCGCGCTCGTGGGGTTAAAAGGCATGAACGTTACGTGAAAATTTCTTAACGTGACATTTTTAAAAATTGAATGAGTGCGCTTTGAAAATGCGCGAACTTCAGCGACGGTTCGTGAGAATCTGGTACGCTAACTGATGTAACTCAAAATCTGAGATTTTGTATGTAAATCCGCGATAGTCTTGGACCTTCCCGGCATAAGGAGGCACACCTCAACTTAAGTTTTACAAGTTCTTTTTCATTTTTCTAGGCGTATTACATTTAAGGATTACGAAGGAAGGAGGGATGCGGCAAAAAAGATCACGGAGGAATCCAAAAAGATCGAGAAACTCTTCAAGAAGTTAGCCAAAGCTAATTTGCAGCCAGAAAATCAATGCTCCGTTCTTTCAACACTTGCTGAGGTCATCAAACTTCGAGATACGTCCATGATGGCTCTTGAAATTTCGGTAACTAAAGAGCAAATCACATCTAGCTAGAATAGTTAAATTTGTTATCATTTTTGGGTTTGAGACAAAGAAAAGTCATACTATTTTATGTATGTTAATTTGTATCATAAAATTTATCTCATGATAATTTATAATAGTTAATGATAAGCTGTTTGTTAAGAATTTAAATGGAAAATGTGATCAGAAATATTGCTTATTGTCGCCCTCTTTTCAAGATAGGAAAGGTAATTTTTGAATGTTCTCAGCAGTCATGGTTTGTTATCAACATGACATTCGGTTTTAAGTTTACTATGCCTGTTACTTTTCTCCTCAGGGAATTGCCAACAAGTACCCAGACTTCAAATCTGACCATGCCTTGGTCCTGTTGTTGATGAGAGGAGATCTTACCAGGACAGAAGCAAGACAGGTGTGTAGAGGATTAATCTCTCACAATCCTAAGCACAAACTTTCAGCTCCTCCCTCTGGGTGAATTAAGTTGACACATTGTGTCTCGGTGGTTAACTTGTTGAACTCCTAATCTAGGGTTCAAGCCCTGTCTGTGTCCCTCTTTGAAGTTTTTCAGACAAGACTTATAATTTCTGCATTGCCTCTCTCAGCCCAGGGAAATAAGTGGGTACCTGAAAAATGTCAGAGAAATCTGACAAATTCCAGGTGGAATAAGCATCCCATTTAGGCCTTGGTTGGTTGAAGGATGAGCAGTGCCATACACTGGATAAATATCTGTCTGATGGATAGCACCCTTGTTTATGCAATGGAAATGGGATGAGCTGTAGCAGTTAGCTTCAGGCTTTCAGTTGTCAACCTTAATGTTAATTTTTTTTGTTGTTATTTTTCCAAGTTAATTATGGAAACTCCTCTAGAAGGAAGACAGGATACTCCAGCTGATGACCCTGCTGCATTTTTCACTCAAATCATTGTGCCACCATCTGTGTTGGACAAGCTGGAAACATTGAGAGAAACAATGATGAAAAAGAAATGAAATTTGCATCAAATTAGCATGTAATTCATTACTCTTCTTCACTCTGTGTATTTTAAAAAAAAGTCCATTTTACATCTACTACTCTAAACAGGAAATTAAACTTGCAACATGTATTTTGGGCCCCAGACATTGATCTGCCACTTTTTTTTCTGTGAAGATGTCAGTAAAAAATAAGTCTACCATAAAATTGCTATTAGAATGTGGAAATTGTTTATTAAAGATAGTTTAAGTGTTACTGGATCTGTATCAATCCACTTCATTAATAAAAATGAAACTTACAGTGTAGTAGATCTAAACATCTTTGAAGCTCTTGAGGACCCATCTTACAGTCCCTAAATTTACATAACCCTATGGGCCCCTTATTTTTACTGGAGCATATCTGGCTTTCCCAGTGTTTAGTGACTTAGGACTCCCTTGCTTCCCCTTTTCTGTATTCAATCATGTTCTTCCTGGCAGTTAGCTGGTACACATGACCTTTTACAGAGGCAAATAAAAGAGTTTTCCTAAAAGGGCCCTACTATTCTGAAGACTTCTTGTTTTATACATCGGGCTCAGTTGTTCAAAGGGAAGATAGCGTGATCTAACAGTTAACCCTTTAACTCCCATTATTGACCAAGACAGAATTTTTCCCAACAATATCAATACAATATTAAGCAGATAAGTGATGAGAATAAAGAAAAGATCGCTTTGGAGATAATTAGTTGATCTAATACTGAATTCTCTGAAGTAACATTATAAGAATTGTATGGTTAACAGTACGGGAAGAATTACAAATTTGATCTGGAAGTTAAAGGGTTAAATTGCTATCCAGTGCATAAAACGTACTGCACTATCCAACAGATAGAGATTTATCCAGTGGCTAGCATTATCCACTCTTTGAGGAACAAGAGCCCAGACCTCTGCACCAGTCCTGCAGATTCCTATGAAACTAATTCTCCCAGCCAGAGTCTCTTGAAAGGGCTTGTTTAGCCAGCTGCATTCTAGAAATACTTGTTTTAATGCTTGATAATGTCATCTCTTAGGGTAAACAGTTTTTGGCATTTTAAAGGCTGATTTTCTGCCGGGTGGTTGGGCATAGTTCCATGGATACGTAGCATGTGTTATAGGGGTTAAGTACGTGTGCTTCTTGATAACAACTCTTCCCAGCTGACTGTACAAAAACTGACTTTCTGGACCCTTGAGAAGGAAAAAACAGACGGCTAAGTCAAGCTGATAAGGTGGACGAGTTAATTCTGGCAGTCAAAAGTCAAATGTCAAATGCTTGGTACAGGTTGGCATAATCCAAAAGTCACAATTTCAATTATATTTGTAGTCGGTTTTGAAACAAGCATTTAGCATCTCGGGTCGTGAAAATGTGCATTATGTTCGATCGTATACCTTTTTAGAATTTAAAAGTTTTAAAAAAACAAACACATCGAAATTTTACTGACTGGAAGCGAAGAAAGGCATTAAAATAAGAGTTATTCCGATATATTAAAGTTCACATGGCAACCAGGTGGACAATCAGACATGGTTTGATGCTACTCTGGTTTAAAGATCTAATGGATGTAACCGAGAAGTTATTAGAGGAAGCACTAGACAGGATTGTCGAAACGTTGGGACTATGAATTGTGACGTCTCGTAACATTCATCAAATCTTTAAACCAGAGTAGCATCAAACCATGTCTTAGAGTTGTTCCGTTTAAAACAAAGCTTTTAAAATACCTTGTGATCTTGATTTGTGTGCCTTGGTAACGAGCGATTTTCGTGTTTCTCTGGTTTGCTTTCCTGCCTTTGATGAGCTCTGTAAGTTCGATCGCATAAACACTCTTCCTCAGTCATGATCCTGTTTACTTTGTCAACAATTTAGGATCTATAATTTTGAGAAGAAACCCTGCGAAGTGTACATCGTCTCCGAGTTCGATCACTCGCTGTAAACAAAGGAAGTGCCAGGCGACTCCTTGGACCCAGTCTCTAAACCGCGGGGTCAACATGGCGGGAAGTTTACACGATGAATGTATCGCTCCAAAAGTTTTTATTCTCTGAACTTAAAATTTGGTCCCTTTAAGCTTCAGATGGAAAGGAACCGGAGTGTAGCTTGGATAATTTCTAATGGAGTCATATTCTCTGCTGGAAAAGCTAAAAGAGACCATAAAAAGAGATTTTCAAGGCAAGGTGTAAATTGTGCATGTTAAAGAATCAACATACAAATAATACTTTATTTTTCTTGGGTGCATAGAGATAGTCTAAGACCTTATTCTTTCTCACGGCCCCAGAAATTAAACTAGCATATTTATCGAAAATATGCTATTAATCTAAAGCTGTCTGCCGTAAAGAATTTCACTTGAGAAAATCTAAAACACAACTGCAGCACTTTTCGAGTTTGTAAAAAAATCGAGATAGAGATATATTATGTCTAGTTTTTCTCAACTTCTTTACAAACTCGATCACCAGCTCAAAAAGAGCTGCAGTTGTGTAAAGAATCTAGATGGGATCTAACCCTGAGTTCATGGTAACTCTCCTTGCCTCAATTAGTTGAACAAATTTGTAAGAGTTTTCTACCATGCCTTGTAGGTCCATCTGTTCGGTTTTAAAAGATTAGCATGCACCCAAACTAAAGCTTTAATAGAGTTTAACCAATAGTATAGAGCAGGACAGGAGTTCTTCTGCATTTATCAGGTCTACACAGGGAAGTGCAAGACACCTGCTAGAGGAGAAGTGAAAAGAAAAATTTCCCCTTCCCTTGCACATCTCTTGCCTCTTGCTTGCCTCCTGCTTGCCTGAAAAATGCAAAAAATGATGCCCAATCTATGAGTTAGGCTGACCATGTCTCTACATAAGGGACAAGAATGTTAAAGCTCTTGTCTTGACTCTTTGGCAAGAGCTGTACATCATTCTGACTTATGCATCATTCATTATTAGTATGCACTGATAAAATTTTATTGTTTCACATTTTCCAGATCTCAGTGACAGATGTACAGAGTCTGATAAAAGGGTTCAGTGCTTGGAGAAAGAAAATACTCAGATAAAGGAGCAACTCAAACAACTTCAAGATGAAAATAATCAGTAGGAATTAAATCTTAAACTTAATTTTTAACAAAGTTGTATGACCTCAGTTATAAAAATGCTTTTGGTTCAAAGCAGCAGAAACTGAGAGTATGTTATGAAATTAATAGGATTTCTAATTTTGCAGAGATTGAGGTGCAAGATTTGCAGAAATTTAAGAATAATATCTGTATGCTGGAGGGAAAATTATTCCACTTTCTGTTTGACTCTCAGGAAGGAAAGGAACCATAAATTCTTGAACTTAACTGTTACTACAATTGTCAAATATTGTATGAACAAAATGTGTAAGTTTATATGTATCTCCCATATGGTTTTCTTAGGATATCCATATTTTGGTTGCAAAATATGTTAATAATTAGTTAGATAAGAGTATTGTTTAGATGCTGATTGTGTTTTCTTGTTATTACTTTCAAACTATTGCCTCAAGTCTTAAAGAAACCTTGGCAAAGGTTGAAAAGGAACTGGCATACAAGGATGAAAAGCTAAAGAGGTTAGAGTAGAAAGATGGGTTGAGATGATGGACTTCTATCCATTAACCCTTTAACTCCCAAGATCTCATTAGTAATTCTCCTTACTGTCTGCCATATAGTTCTTGTGATGTTAGTTTGGAGAGTTTGGTATTGAATCAACTAATAATCCCCTAATTAATATTTTTCTTCATTCTCATCAGTTGTCTGCATGATATTGTATTGATATTGTAAGGAGAAATTCTGTCTTGGTCACTCATGGGAGTTAATTCTTCCTCCCCTTTCCCTACATGTATGCTTTTCTTTTTACATCAGTTTTGTGACAATAATATTTCAGGAAATATGATGAACTGCACAGGAAAGAACAATGGTGGGACCAATTTCGAGATGAAACTCAGCGGAGGTTTAAAGGTTGGTTTTTACATACATGATGATATCAAAGTCTTAGACTTGGTCCGGAAATTAAATATTTGGTAAAAACTTTTATTTACCTCTTTTCCTTGATTATGATTTCGCATTTACAGATACTGCAATCTTCAAATAGTTCTTCTCTTTTTCTGTAAATCCCTAGAAACAGATTACAATATAATTACCAAATGAGTGAATTAACTAAATATAATGAATTAGGCTGTGGTGTTAGTCTGTTTGTTTTTCTGTGTTAGAGAAATGGAATGGTTGTTTGCATACAACTTCTGTTTAAATGTTTTTCCTGCATTTTGCTCTACAGCAATGAAATCATATGGAACATTCCCTCCACACATCCTTGAAAAATATGTAAATAAGGATATTTTCCAGGAGTTGATGTGAGTTGAAAAATGAATTTACTTACTTTTGCATCTAAGTAAACCTAGTTTGTAGTCCCTGTGTCAATTTTTGGAGGACTAAATTCCAGTTGGCTAATATAAAACTCATGAAATAATTTGAGAGCAGAGGAGTGCTAACGAAGAAATTGGTAAAGAGGGATAAGGAAGACTTCAAGTTTGATTAGGTAACATATTTGTCATCTTTTGTTTTAATCCTTTAACTCCTTGATCAAATTTGTAATTCTCCTTACTATCAACTTCACAATTCTTATATAATGTTAGTTCAGATAATATAGTATTGGATCAACTATTTATCCTCAAAAGGATAATTATTTTTTTTATTCTCATCTCGTATCTGGTTGATATTGTATGGATATTGTAAGGAGAAATTCTGTCTTGGTCATTCATGGGAGTTTAAGGGTTAATCCTCTACACCCTAACATTAATATCCTTATTAACAATACTATTATCTATAAACATTTCCTATGGGACCAATAAGAAGAATATGAGAGCTTCTTTGGCCAGCAATACTATCCTAAATTCTCATAATTTATCATTAATGCTTGTTTTGGGGATGATACTGTAAGCAGAAATGAATTTGATGTAAGTTACTCTAAGGGATGTAAGGGCTATGAAACTTTTGTGAATTTGTGTCCTCAGGAATAATAATTCTACTAGCTCTTCCTTATACAAAGAAGATTGCCTCGTGATCAACAAGAGGAATGGCAAACTTTCCACCCTTAAAAGCAGGAAGAAGGTTAGATACAACAAAGTGTCAGCCTCGCAGTCGACTGCTGCAGAGGAAGTGAAAACAAATTCTCAAGACAAAGACGAAACACACATCAGTGAAACTGAAGAAAAGGAAAAACTGATAACGGATGATGACGAGGTTTATCCTGATACCAATGAAAGCACAAAACTTTACCATCATTCTCCACCTGATCAAAGGCAAGGAGGCAATATTTCTGCTCATCCCGAGGTTCTTGTTCAAGACACTGAGGATGTGTACACAGAAGAAGTTGGTGATGGCTTCGGTTGCTTTATAGGGGCACCTTCTGCAGCAAGTACTCCTCTTGCTGCCGCAAGTTCACTTCGTTTTGATTATGATAATGTTGACGATGGTGATGGTAATGATGATGATGATGATGTGAGTGTCGGTATTCTAGATAATCCAAAACAATATCCGAAGGATGAAACTATGGATATTTTAACTAATGTTAAGTCGCAGCTAGCAAATTTGCCTAAATCAGATTCACAATTTCCAGTTGACTTGTCGTACACACAGCCAGAATCTCCAACGATTCCAAGCCGTACGCGTTCTCTGCAACAAGACATGAACCTGACTGCTGATTGCTCAGTGTCGCTTTTGCCTCATGGACTCAAGGCCGAAGAGAAATCTGAGAAACAAGAATGCAAACCCAATTTTGATTCTAAATTGGTTGAAGACAATGTTAAAACAGAAATCGAGAATGAACAAATGGAAAAACAACCTACACCAATGAAAGCTGGAAGCACTTGCAAAAGCAAATCAACCAAACAGACAACTTTGGACACAAACTTTTTCAGCACGAAAGGGGCTTTGAGCAAAAATGATTTTACCTCTGGGAAGAGAAAGAGGGACACTTCAGGGGAATTTGATGATCAAAAGTCCCGTGGAAAAAATGAAGATTTTAGGGTTAGTTAATTATATAATTTTACGTTCAGTGTTTCAGTTAAAGTCTTTTTCCGTCAAAACTAAGACAAACTTTTCACTTTTGGCGAATTTATGATTGTGTCGTATAATCTAGTTTGACGATTTTACGCATTAAGTAGCGAAACAGCGCAAGGCCATGGTGCAATTATTGAGATTTTATTGAAAACTGGTGAAGATTCAAGTCTTCGTTGTAAGATTTTGTACTTAATATTTGCAAGTTGCTTAAAATTTTGAACGAACACAGTGCGACACGCTTTGCGCAGGTATCAAAAAAAAAAAAAAACTTATGACGTAATTTTCGGTTAAACGGACAGTAGTTTAAGGATGAAGAAAATTAACACGGATTAGTAAGGATAACTCTGACAGATTCATTATTTTTTTGGAACCATGTATTTGTTAGGGGGAAAAATTTAAGACTTTGTTCAAAGTACCTACGGCACCACCGCCAAAAACACCCGAAGTGATTCTACTGGAGGAATTTCCTTCACGCAGAGCTGATAAGAAGTCTTTTACCACTCCGTTGGGCAGCAGTGGAGATATCACAGGGCTGTACACGAGTGGTATGGACCTGTTTGGTAATATGGATGAACACTGCTCATCAGGTAATCACTAGAATTGAAGAACATTGCTTTCTTAAGCGCTCTGCGATTTGTTAAGAGCTCGCGCCGCTTTTGCAACCAATCAGATGCAGGACCGAACCAATCGTGACTTGGTCGCACGAATCGTTTCACTCGGGCTTGGACATGATCATGTACTTCTTCTTAGATTCTTCACGGGCTTGTTGTTGCATTTGCATTGCTTTCAACCTCTTCGTCGATTGTGTCGAATCTGAAATTAATTCCAATGTACGAGTAGCGGCTGAATCTTAGGTGTTCTCAGTTTTCTTTAGTTATTATTTTTGCTGCATGTGTATCTTTTCATTGTTAGATGTGCAACAGGACAGTGAAAAAGAAGGTCTTTGCTTGGAGAACGACGGAAAAGAAAATTTTACAGGCAAAAATGAGGTACTGACTGAGCTAATACTTCGGCCAAACGCACTTTCACCAAAGTGTTAAATAACAAGTTACCTTTTTTTCTTATAAACAGAAATATATCAGTAAGGCTTCGCAAGAAAACAGGCCGAAAGATACGAATGAGTGTTCAAAAATGGGAGTCAGGTATTTGGTATTTGAATTTATCAATTCCATCCAGTAGTTGAGCTAACGAGACATATACTGGTGTTTTGATAAGCTTTTTTCCATGGGGCATTAGGCGGCTGTACCCGGGAGAGGTCCGTAAGTCGAAACCTAAACACGAGCTTGCTCGTATGCTAAACGGACGGCAGAGAGGAGTAATGGGCAGCGGTAGACCGCTGTAAATCAGCTCTTTATGAAACTTACCCCAGCATACGAGATATGCCACGATGCTGATTCGTATAGCTACCGGAACTTCCTCCCCTCGGATGAGATGCTAGTCTATACTGGGTTACCCGTGGTCTCCGTGAGGGTTTGCAGTTAGCATAGGTAACAACATGATTTCGAGTGCAATTTGGTGTAAATAAGCACGAGTAAATAAAGACGACAAAATTGTACGAGACCGTAGGGCGAGTGCAATTTGTGCAAATTTTACAAGTGTTTATTACACCAAATTGCTCGAGAATTCATTTTATTAGTTTTTAATAATGTACATGAAAGAACATCGCAGAAAGTCAAGACCGACGAAATTTTGAAAGCGTGCGCGCGCTATTTGTAATTTGCACCCGTGTTACAACTTTGTAATCGTGTTACAAATTTGCACGCGTGTTTCATGAGAATGCACTCGTTTTCAGCCAATCAGAAGCGCCTTACTTTTTCATGTACACTATTACGGAATTTACAGGTAGGCGGGAAAAAGCCCTCTAAGCGTTAGCCTACGTGTAGCCGCACCCTTCCTCCCCAAAGGTGAAACAGAGGCGCCTACATTTTACCTTTGGGGGAAGGGTGCGGCTACACGTAGGCCCTCTGAGGGTAAGTTGTATACAAGTGACGAAATGATCCTCGAGGGTGAGCTGCAACTGAAGAAACTGCGGAAAAAGTGGCTTTAACCCTTTATATAGTATATAAAGGGTTAAATATTTCATATTCTCCATACTCCTCTCTATATGTTTCTACTGATACTGACAAGGAGAATTGATATGAAGATCAAAACCTCCAAGGCGGCGATCATTTCCTTTATTCTCATAATCTTAATGAATGGTTGAGCAGTATTACTGTGAGGAGAACTTAGATACCGGTTACTCTTAGGGTTTAGCCCTTTAACTCCCATGAGTGACCAAGATAGAATTTCTCCTTACAATATCAATACGATATCAAACAGATAAGTGATGAGAATAGAGAAAAATATCAATTTGGGAATGATTAATTGATCCAATACTAAATTCTCTGAACTAACATTACATGAATTGCATGGTTGACAGTAAGGAGAATTTCAAATTTGATCTGGTAGATAAAGGGTTAAAGGGTCAAGAGATTTAGGCCTCGACGAGATTCGAGCCCATGCCTTCTAGGTACTAGTTCATTTGAGCAGCAAGGCCACATTTTGAAAGTGAGGCAAATTTTTGAGAATTCTTTGTTCCCATAAAGGAATGCTCCTCTTGAATTTGTCTTTCTTCCGACATATGGCTTTTTAGCTCAGTTAAAAATATTGTATTAAACGCGTACATCAATATTATTATTGCTAACGCTGGTGAATCATTCCCTCCTAAATTTGACTAGGAATAATGACGCTGAACCAAATTATAAATACGTAGAAGTTGTCCGGAAGAAAGATGAAAGAGCCAAGCTGAACGGCTATAAATGTCGTGACTGCCAAGAGGTAACATGCTAGATTACTTAGACAGAAAAAAATAGTCCACTGAGTGAAAAAGTGAACTAAGACATTCCATGCTGGAATTTGGCCCAAAAGGCACTAAGTACAGGAAAACTTAGGCACGAAGAATACAGGAATTTTAAAGGCTTTTGAAACGAACAAAACATACTAAAGAAGCAAGGCAGATCTTTTCATCGGTTTTTTTTTTGTGGAAGTAATTTCTTCCTTGTATAGGGGGAATATGCATCATCAAGAACCTGTAGATTACTAAATAAGTTTAAAGTTAATAGTGTTTCAAATGGTATTTAACATGACAGTGGAGATCTTCCTAGGAAGACCTTATTCCTGTTTTCTCGTCACCATATTCCTACCAATAACGTAGCTCCACTTTCTGCATATAAACCCACACACAACCCACAATTCCTCCAATCGCTCTGACGAAGGGCTAACCCTCAAAATGTCAGCTTTTTTACCCTTTACGATGGCCAATTTACGTTTTCAACTCAATTGTTAACACTAAATTACCTGCCTATACTCTCCCACCGACGCAGCACCACAGTTTCTTTAGAAGGTCATGAAAGAATGTCTGTTTTGGTTTAAGCCTTACAAAAGTTGGAACATGTGACCTGTTTTTCTCTCATTTTTGTTTAGTTTGAGAGCAATAGATAAAAATCAATTCAGCCGTTGGCGAAATTTATTCCCTTGTTTTTGTCCTTTTTTTAGGATTTGTATTGTATTGGCTAATATGATGTTCTTCACGAAGGGCGACTTTTTTTCAGTCTGTGCGTCAAAGTTTCGGTGTTTCGCAACGAGTCAGTTAGAGTTGAGAAATGTTAAGCCGATTGTTGACAGTGGTCTCTCGAGTTCTCTTTTACATATTTAGATAATTTCGTCTGTTTTGCAAATGTGATAAATTAGGTTTTGCTATTGTGATTGCCAATCGAAATGCGCTTAAAGACAGATATCCCTTTTCTTTTCAGTATTACCAGGGCCTTGATCTTCCCGAAGATGAGCTGAAAAAACGTTTGAAGCACTGTTCTCGTCACCGAGCGAAGTTTTCACCACCACCGTCCACTCCGCCAGGCTTTTGGAATTTAAGCTTTCCGGATACCCAAGAGTATATGGCTAAGGGCTATTTAAAGACTGAGTCGGAAGCACCGGCTCCGAAGAGACTTCGGAAAACACGACGGAATAGGATCGCAAAGTGAAGTGTCTTTTCGAAGATTAACGATGAATTGCGAAGTTGACATGAAGATGTCACGATCGCTGATTTCTCGGGTTATCCGTGTGGTAACGAAGAAAACTGATTGGTGGAAGATGATACGAGGCATAATACAAATATAGAACTGTATTGTGAACAAGCCTCATGCATTTATACTAGAATGTACTGCTTGTCAATTTTTTTCTTAAGTGTGTACATGTCGAGAAATATTACGAGGAGCCAATGGCAACTCACTACAAGAAAACATGCCTGCAGCGCGGAAAAATGCGATTGAGCAAGTCGCCATTGGTTTAAGTTTTGAATCCAATTGCTTTTTAAAGTGGCGCGAGTTTCCTAGATAAATCTCCTATTCAGAGCAATCTTGGATAACTTTCAACACTTTTCTTTAGAGCGTATTTCGATCGAGCGTCATAAAACCAAAGTCAGCGTAATCACAACGACCTATCTGACGAAAAAAATGTCGCTGGGGGCAAATGGGAACCCAAATATCAGAAAATTGTCCCCTTAGTTCAACAAAGTCTGCCATGAGAAACGATAACGACTGTTTATGAAAATCCTTCCGTAAATCTAGTTGTAATTTATTGATCCACGAGTGTATTTTCAGAAATTCCAACATGCGTTCTAAAAGCATCCTGATTTGAACTAAATTATTTTGAATCAAATACTTCCCAATCACCTTTCTCGTTCCACTCCCTGTCTTGCAAGAGACGACGGAGAAAATTCCTTGGGGACCTGAATCCAAATAGATTTGCATTTTCAGCGCCATTTTTGAAGCGAACAGGATCAACACGAATAGCTCACTTGCCCTTGCAGTTCATTCCTGCATTTAGCAGAAGGGCGATTTAAAGAAGCGTTAATTGTCCTTCCTTGCCCATATGACAGTGATTGCGTTTGTCCTTGAGAACCATATTGAATACGCGACAAATACGAGCAAGAAATATTTTTACACATTCAAAATAAATCGATTAACATTTACCTATGGCGAAAGAAAAAAGGAATGGCCTAACGTTTATGGAATGTGCGGCTAACATCCGCCAATTTCCGCTGCTTTAACCGAAAATGAAATTCATTGAAAATGAAGCTACCACAATGCAATGCAATCGGAGTGCGCACATCTTTTTTAAGAGCGATTTTGCCGCAATTCAGCATTGAGTTCCTGCTTTCTTGGAAAGGCCTTTGAACAGTTCAAGGCATTGTTTGTACATGCTAGTGTTTTCCAGTGTTGGATAGCGGCTTTGTACATGTCTAAGGTGAGTGAATGAGGCGAAGATCGACTTTGCAGTCTTGGGAACGTGCAGACTGACTGCACTTCAACAGGAAGTCTCCTTAGTCTTTTCGCTTATGATTGCATTTCTCGTTTTGGTCACGAAACATCTTGCTTGGGAATTCGAAAGTTCAGAGAGCTCATCTCTCGTAATCTTTCAAAGAACGTCTAATCAAACATTTCAAAGTTCTGGATAAGGGCTTTGATCAACTTTTATAGGTATTTGTTTTCGATCACAGCTGTACCTAGTCATTAACATAAATAAACATCTACGTACTAGTCGCCGGTTCGATGCGGTTGTAGTATTTTGGAATGTTTCTCAAGCTTTTCGCGGTATTCATGACCAGGAGATAGTTTACTTTGCGAAAGGAAGCAAGATTGCTGGGAACATATTCCAACGTAATCAACGAGAAAAGTTCATTTGCAGCCATTTATAGTAACATAAACAACGGAGCTATTTTCTTGTCCATACATGTATCATGTATGAGCATCGTGTCTTGGCGCAACATAGAGCCATGGTGTTGTAATTAATTATGAGCAATCATAGCATGATTGTTTAACCTCTTACACCCTAACATCAGTCTGCATATTCTCCATTCTGTTCTTCATACATTTCTTGAGGTCATGACGAGGAGAATTTGTCAAGCAATCAAGAGTTTCTTTAGTTGGCGATCATTTCCTTCATTCTCATGAACTTACTGTTTTATTTGGGGGTAATACTGTAAGGAGAATCTAGATGCTAGTCACTCTTAGAGGTTACAACATGATTCTGCCTTTCTTCTTTTAATACCATGAAAGGTTTTAGGAATAAACTTTTTGATTCAAACAACAGGTGCTGGAAGAGCAATTTTATAGATAAAATTTAGAAGATCTCATACAATGTGAAGAGGGGCATATCATTCCTATGAGTTTTAAAGGATTTTTATGAAAGTATCAATGGACTTAACATATGACTCGCTGCTTTGGAATTTATTTTCCATTGTCCTTCTACTTTCAAACTATGGTCAGTCCAATAAGGAGTCTTAAAGCAATATAAGGGGATTTTGGTCCTTTTGTGTAGGAGGAGAGAGTAATATCTTGGATATGAATTCAAACTATATCAACAGAAACAGAAGTTTTCTGGTATGATTTGAGTTTTTGATGAGTTATGTGCTTTTGGTTCATTTTTGAGTTGTCTGATTGTCAAGCTGTTAATAAGTGTTTCAAGAAGAAAGGGTGTATTATGGTGCAAAATTCTTTCATGCAAGGCTGACTGAAATATTTCTAAACAGGAAACTCTTTCTTCTTTGTAATGTTTTATTTACAGTCTTTTGTTTTTAATATTCCTAAGACATAGACTAGTATAGTTATTTTGAGATGTCTTGATATTGGTGTTGTGTTGATAGAATTTTGTAGCCTCTGTTTGTGTGATGTATGATATTTGTAACAAGTTCATGTCTTATTGTTTATTATTTCATTGCAGGATACCCATGGTATTGAGCATCAATATATTTCCGTAAAACTGCTGTGTGTGCATTAGTGGTATCAATTATGCCGATTCAAAAACCTCAAGGGACAGAATTTCTTCAGTGTCCAATATGTTACAAGGAATTTGACAATCATGATCGGCAGCCAATCAGCTTGGGATGTGGACACACATTTTGTGTTTCCTGCTTGTCAAAACTGTCTAAAACACAGTGCCCTACTGATCAGGCTTCTGTAGAGACAGATATATCCAAACTTCCATACAACTATGCTTTGCTTCAATTAGTTGGAGAAGAAATGCCAGACAATAGGCTTCCCCCAATTGACAGTCTTAGAGAATATGCCACTTATTATTTAAATTCAAAAAGCTGTATTGAAAAGCTTGCCCTGTTCTTGAAACCTGTCAGTGGCTCTGGTAATGGTACAGTGAATGGAAAAGTCAATGGCAGCACCCGTAATGGTTCTGTCAACAGCAATGGGAATAACGTCCTTACGAGACCCATGCAGAGGAAGCTTGTGACATTAGTTAACTGTCAATTGGCTGAGGGTGAAGGAAGATCTAGAGCCATGCGTGCGGCCAGAAGCTTGGGAGAAAGGACAGTTACAGAGCTCATTTTATTGCATCAACAAGTCTCAGCTAATATATGGGCTGCTGTACGGAATCGTGGTTGTCAGTTTTTAGGACCAGCTATGCAGGAAGAAGCTTTGAAACTGATTTTGTTGGCTCTTGAGGGTGGTGAGGCTTTGTCTAGAAAGGTTTTGGTTCTTTTTGTGGTCCAGAAGCTGGAATCTGTGTTTCCACAGGCTTCCAAAACAAGTATTGGCCATGTAGTGCAGTTGCTTTACAGAGCATCCTGTTTTAAGGTGAGTTTATGCTTTATGCTCCATTAAGGTGGATTTCAGTGGATGTCTGTTAAATTGTCACTAAAAAGTGCACTGAGATTTTTGTTATGTAGGAAATTGAGTATGCTTGTAATATATATTAAATGTAATTAAGAGGTCTCTGTGTATTTAAAAGTGTTGAACTGCAAATGTTGACTCAATTTTTTCATTCAGGTCGAGGAAAAGAACAATGAGCCATCTCTAATGCAGCTCAAAGAACAGGTACTGTTTCTTTGAAAAATTTAATAAGTGTTTTCAGATGTAACTGCCATTAAATTCACATGTTGGTTATTTCTTTCCATTGAATAAACAGTGGTTAATAATTGTGTTGGTTGTGCTTGTTAGACTTAAAAACATTATATCATTCTTCTTTTTTTTTTTCTTTTTTTTTTTTTGCTATCAGTACCGTACTTATGATGCACTGCGGAAAGTACATGATGCACAGATAGTGCAAATTGCAACAGAGGCAGGGCTGCGCATTCTCCCAGACAAGTGGTCCTCACTGCTCTATGGTGACATGGATCACAAGTCTCACATGCAATCTATCATTGACAAGGTGTGTTGTTAGTTATGGCTTCAGCTTTAGTGAAGTAAAACTGTACATTTAATACAATGGATCTAAGCTAGTTTGAAATTTTTGATATCACTATTCAAGATTTAAAGCAGCAGGGCCATTATTGTATTTCTATCATGGGAAGACCTGTGAATTTTTTAATGGAGTGTTATGGTTTGCATCACAAGTTTATCCCAAAAAATGGTAGCATTACAGTTAAAACTAATTTCTTTTATTTTGTTTTCAGCTCCAAACCCCTGCCTCATTCTCCCAGAGCATCCAAGAGCTGATCATTGCCCTACAGAGATCTGGTGATCCTGGGAATCTCTGTCAAATGAGAGATCAGTTTGAATTACTGTCCCACATTGATGCATCTCCAGGTTTGTGTGGCAGTCTTTTTTGCAAGAATGGCAAGTTGTTGCATACAGAAGCACACAAATTTTCATTGACTGAAGCTTGAATAAGTTCTTGACATTAGTGGCCTGTTTTCACCAAGTTATTCACTATAGCTTTGGGATCATATACATGTAGACACCCCAGTTGCACAGTTAATTACAGGTACATGTACTTCAAGGCCAAAAAAAATTGCATTACCAGTTGAGATAACATGTGTCTTTGATTTTTTTTCCTGCAGAGGCATCATGTCCAGCTTGGGATGAGCTAGAACAAGCCATGGTTTCTGTACATTCTGTGGTCCATGGATTTGTTGATTTTTCAAAAGTGAGTGATGGTGTTTTTGTTTTTCAAAATAAAATCCACTGATTTCTTGATTTGAGTCTATTTTGATTACATGGAAACTACATGAGAGCTCTTTTGGCAGATGCAGGATGATCACTGTGATCAATGTTGCTTTTGGTTCTATTCTTTCATATTCAAAAGGTTAATTTGAAACATCTGCAGGCTCATTGATACAAAAGAGCAGATTAAAAAAAGAAAAAAAACTAGATGCATGCAGAAGCATCAAGAGCAGCTGTTG